TCCCCGATCTGCAGTGTGCGTGGCTTCTCTTCGCTATGTGCGCATCACCACGGGCCAACCACGCGCTGCGCACACTGCCACCACTTGACATTGCAGGCTATGCCCAGGCCCATGATGACGCCGCGTGGCAGACCTTGCAGGCCTGCCTTGGCGGGTCGCGCCAGGCGATGTGGATGGTGCACGGCCCTTGGCGACTCTCCCAGCATCGCAAGGCGGGCTGGGTCTAGCGAGCACGGTCCGTACCGCGCCCGCTGCGTACTGGGCGGCGTGCCGTGCCGCGGCTTTAGCCGAGGCCTGCGTCCACCAGCTGGAGGCAGCGGTAGAGAATGCAGCATGCCTTCGTAGTGCCGCGGTGGCACGCAACCTCCTTCGGCATGAGTGCCCGTCCTAGCGAGCCATCATGGATGGCGCGCGCCCTTTTTCAGTGACTGACAGGCTCGAAACCTACACTTCCGCGAGCGCACGTTGCTGCCAGCCTTGCCACCAAGCGCCTGCGTGCTCTTGCGTTGTCAAGCTGGGCCACACGCGGGCGCCTGGTTAACAGCCATTCCAGCGGAGCCCGCCACCACACTGCCCCCGCAAGCAATGCAGCTCGCCTTGCGGCGCCGACGGCGCGGCCCATCTCCCGGTTGTGGCGAGCTCGTCGACACGTTCGGTGATCATGCCCTGGCCTGCCCTCGCACAGGGCTGTTGGCTCGGCGAGCAAAGATCGTTGAACGGGCATGGATGAGGGTCGCACGCGAAGCTGTTGGAGCAGACGGCCAGGTAGTCCCGCAGCAATGGGTCTGCAACACCACTGTTCCTGGCGTTGCCCCAAACGACAGACGCCGCCTCGACTTGGTGATTTACGGAGCAACACCTATGGGTGGAGTCGCAGGACCTCCATCATGCAGGCGGAAAAGGAGGAAGCTGCATGCACCTGCAGCGTTCTGGGCATCCTGGGCGGACGCAGTCCCCGTCCTTCGCTCGCGGGACGCGCCGCTTGCCGAGTCCTTGGTGCACGCTCTGGATGCACGCGATGCTGCTGAATGGTCACCGGTGCAGAACCTCCTGCGGCTGAGGCTGGCTTCGCCGTCCCGCAGTGGGCTGCTCTGCCCCACGCGGCCCCACCCCTTGCTGCTGACGATGCGGACCCCGATGTCCCTCACCGAGGTTGGCAACGCCCAGCCTCGAGAGCCCTTGACGATCGGGCCGCTGCGGAGCATCGTCGTGCCGTGGGCCCTGCCGAACTCGCGCTCCTTGACTCACAGTCCGGCCCCTTTGCCGCCAGGTTGCTTGCTGTTCGCCCTGTTGCACCTGAGCTTGCCCTCGACTCTGCGCTATTCCGGGTCCTGCTCCTGCGTCGCTTGCGGCTCCCGCTCCCCCTTGCTCCCGCGCGCTGCCGCTGTGGCCGTCCGCTTGATGCCCTGGGTGATCATATTGCTGCCTGCCCTCGGTCTGGCGTTCTCAGGGCGCGGGGGGGCCCGCTTGAGCGAGCCGCCGCTCGGGTATGTCGTGAAGCTGGTGCAACTGTTGCAACCAATGTTCTTGTCCGCGACTTGAACCTTTCGGCAGCCAGGCATGATGAGCGACGCATTGAAGTTATTGCCAATGGCTTGCCCTTGTGGGGCGGCTCACAGCTAGCCGTTGACACAACTTTGGTCTCGCCACTCACTTCCGCTGGTCTGCCCCGTCGCCGGCGTGGCAGCACAGCAGGCGTAGGCCTGGCTGAGGCGCGCCGGGCCAAAGAGCGCACTTACCCTGAGTTCGCTGCAGCCCATCGGTGCCGGCTGGTTGTTCTTGGCCTCGAGGTTGGCGGTCGCTGGAGTGCCGAAGCAGCCACCTTCATCCGTTTGCTCGCGCGAGCGCGGGCGCGCGGCGCAGCTCCGTCGCAACGTGCTGCGTGTATAGCGGCTTTCGTCGGACGATGGTCTGGGTTCTTGTCCATCGCAGCTGCCCGCTCATTCGCTGCCAGCCTGCTGTCCCTGCCCATCTCCAGCACCGCGAACCTTGACGGAGACGCGCCTCTCCTGAGCGACGTCCTCGCTGACTCGGCTGAATCGCCGCCGCTCGCCTCTCGCTTGGGGTGAGCCCGGGTCGGTGGTTAGGCGGGTTGTGGGTCCGGTAGGGCTCGGTGGGCTGCTGCACTGGGACCGCGATCGGATGCTGGAAAAAAGGGTGCGGAGAAAAACCAAAAAAAAACATTGTGAGCCCATGAGCCGGGCGAGCGCACAGCATAGTTGAACACCTTGCTTGCCAAAGTGCGACCATCATTCTCGCCCCCAGCAGCGCTCAAGCGACCAAACAAGCTGAACTGCAGACGTCGAACAGAGGGTGCCATCCCAACTCACCCACCACAGCGGCTCCAGGAGCACCCTGAGGCCACATAAGTAGACGGCGTCCAAATTGCCGCAATTTTTTGTTCAGCGTGCGGAGGGAAGCTTCATGAAAGAATTGAGAGGAAGGCAGTACGTATGAGCGAAAGAGGCTAGTGCGAAAACCAGTGCACAAACCTCGGTTTTCAGCCCAGCCCAGGCACTGATGAAACTTACCAGTCGCCTCCGCCTGCCGCTTCCGCTGGCGTTGTGGTGGGGATGGTGGGCAGTCCACCCCGGGGTGTGGCCGCCTTGTCGATGAGCACGGCGACCATGCCTTGGCTTGCCCCCGCACGGGCCTGCTCGCGCGCCGTGCCAAAGTCGTCGAGCGCGCCTGGGTGCGCGTCGCGCGCGAGGCGGTTGGGCGCCGCGCCTGGAGTACCCGCGGGGGACCATTGCCGCCTGGACCTCGTCATCTACGGGGCGACCCCGTTGGGAGGGGCGCTATGCTGCGACGCCACACTCGTCTCGCCGCTGGCGAGGGATGGCACTCCCCACTGCGGAGCCGCAGACAGTGACGCGGCCGTGCGCACGGCCAAGCGGCGAGCGGCGTAAGCGGGCCACCTACCCCGAGCTCGCACAGGGGGGGGCGTAACGGCACATCGCGAAAGTGGGCACGCCAAGCATCTAAACAAGCTGGACCTTCAACAAGGCCACCACGAGAGTCCGATGAACGCATGGTACATGGCAACACATGCCGTCGCATTCCCATCTGCTGTCGAATGTTTTGTGCAGCCATGCGGGGGTTATCTCCGGCAAGCTGCTCCTGTGCACGAAGCCGAGTGTTCCAGAACTGGTGAAAACGGACCCTCTTGGCACGAAACGCCGAACGGGCAGCAGGCGTTCGCTCACGACGCCATAGCCGACAAGCTGCGATGCGTGAAACCATGAGGTCATAGCACTCAGAATCCCACCAATCGTGCTGGGGACGACGAAGCGCCTGTGTGTTGTGCACCGTCTGCCCTGGCAGACTCCACATCAAGGCAACAAATTCCCCGTACAGAATATCAACAACCGCCCGCTTTGAAACGGAGCTTGCAGCGTCACACTCATTACGAAGGCGTACCGCTCGGGAAACCCACCTGAGAAGGTCAGGACAGACAGCGCGAATTACAAAACATTGACGGGATCTGGGGAAACCCGGAGCTTTTTCTTTTCTTCCTTTTTCCATCTCCCTTCCCCCTTCTCCGCCCGCAGCTCTTGAGTAAAGCAGAGAATTCCATAGAATTCCCAAAGTACATTTTTTGAGCATGTCAATTGTAGTCTCAGGGTTTCTCCCCAACTCCACCAGAAAGGCTAGTGCTGCTGAGACGCGTTCACCATGTGCCGAGGGTCTGGATTGCAAAAACGCTGTCAGGTTTGAATGGGTCAGGCGGAATCACAAACTGCACCTTGCGAACTTGTACCAAAAAGGTCTGAACTGCATGTTCTTGGGTCAGACCCCCCGTCCACTGAGGGGACTGCTACGGGTTTTCACGGCCAGGCCAACTTGTCCTGAATTCTCGCTGACACCCTCACATTTTTTTTAAAGCGGCGCCTCCGATTCCCCCGGCCGCTCGCTGTCGCCCACTGTCGACGCCAGGACGAGCTCGGGGACCATCTCGCTGCATGCACCCGCTCCGGCGTCTTGCGAGCCAGAGGTGCCCCGCTCGAGCGTGCTGCAGCTCGCGTCTGCCGTGTTGCGACCAACGTCTTGGTGCGGCACCTCATCGTTCCTTCCCGGCAGGCGGCCGCGGCATGGGTCCAAATCGCGGTTGACACAGCCCCGCCGTGAGGGAAGGCGAGCTGCCACCTCGTCGTCCTCGGCATAATGCAGGTAGTCTGCAGAAGCCGCTACCTTCCCCTGCCTCCTCGCCCGCTGCCGAGATCTCGGCCTACGTGCTTCGGTGTTGAGCCCTGCTTGCGTTCGCCTCTGCCCGTACCTTTGCGACCAGCTTGCTCTCCCTGCCACTTTCGGGTGCAGCCAATGTGGATGGAGATCCGCCTCTTCTCAGCGACCTCCTTGCAGAATCCTTGGCCTGTCCACTCCTTGCCACCCGCATGCCCTGACCGACCAAGTTCCTCCCCTAGGACTTGGGCGACCTGCACCGGGACCTCGTGACCGGCGTAAAAAGCTTTCGCTTTCGCTTTCGCCCGTTCGGGTCCACGTGAAACATTACAAGCGTCAGACTGTTCCTGCTGCTAGTGGACCACGGTCCTATAAGGACATGGGGAATGGGGGCGTGCTTGAGTGTTGGCACCTCGTGACCGGCGTAAAAAGGTGCGTGGAAAAAATCTCTTCACCAGACCCCCAGACTAAACCCTAACTTCAAGCTCTCAGCCGAAATGTTGAAAGAAGATGACCTAATCCCCGTCCCCGGCAGCCCAGAACATAAGGGACTCCCTCGAACTCTGGTCAGAAAAAATTATGGATGTCCTTGCCGCACCCTTATCGCAGGCTTGGCCAGTCAAGCGATTAGGCAGGGGCGAACGAAGTGGGGTACCATGTGCCACCTGTAATAATGTTTCTTTACACAAATATGCCAAAATATGGGAAGCTTGTGATGCGAAGAAGGTGTGCATCCATAGGCTAGGCAGGGCCTTGTATAGTCTACGCAAAAGGCACAATTTGCAAGTGTTTTACTAGTAGCAGCAGAAGAGTTTGCCATGGATGTTTGCCGTGTGTGTGATGGCACGGGTTTCCTCCTGAGGGAAGTGTGTCCATTGTGTGATGGAGCGCCAATCGTGCAGCAGGTGCGACCATTTGCTTGTATGCAGCAACGAAGCGACCTGTGCTTGGTTTTGGATATTGACGGTACCCTTTTGTCCGAGTCGGTAAGTGAGGATTGGACCATAGAGCAGCTCCGCACATATTTACGCCCCAACACGCAGGCTTTCCTTCGCTTTGCCTTTGAAAACTTTGCTGCAGTTGGGATATGGACTGCTGGTAGTGACGAGTGGTTACGCACTTTTGTTGCTGTTGTGGACCCGATGTTACGCACCTGCGCCAATGGTGTGGACCCCTGGGCTTTCAAATGGAGCCGGCGGCTCAGCTGGATCAGGGCAGGCACTGAGGGCCTTTATCCTACATGGTCACAAGTCAAGCCTTTGAAGAAGATTTGGAGAAACAGGTCCCTGCGCGCCGTGGGTTATTCTTCCAGGTCGACGTTGATCATTGACAACACGGAAAGTGTCTGCCGATTGAACTATGGCAATGCAGTGTACATCAAGACGTACCATTGTGGTGATGATGATTGGCTCCTGGTTCTCATGGAGTACTTGAAGGAATTGGCGAAGCATCACCGGGACGGTGTCTCTATGCGCAACATCGAGAAAAGACATTGGTATGTCGCGGTGAAAGAAAGGATGGATCTTGTGCATGACTGTCCAGTAACTATGGGGACTGACGAACTGCCAGCGTATGCTGAGGAAGTGTTTTTCTCAGTGGACTCAGTCAGTCCGGAGGTCTGTTCAACTTCTGACCCCAGTTCAACTTCTGACCCCAGAAGTTGAACCCATATGTAGGACAAGCGGCAACCATTACAGTAACGCTACAAGAGGCAGGCAAGAGCAGTTGAAATTTCATGGCTAAAGTGATTTTAGCGCAGGGTTGCTGTGCCGGAGCAGTTTTATGTACAGATGACACATTTGAGAGCGTGTGTCAAGCATCTCCTATTGCCTCATGTTCGGCCCGCAAAGAGCATGGATTTGCGGGCCATGCTCGTTGTACAGCCACGAGAGCAGTTGTGAATCCCTGCCAGTGGGTAAAGGGCAATGTTGGGCATAAAATGCAAGGGCAGCTGTGTAGGGCGTCATGGCCACCATGGCTAATGTAAGACTCGTGTTTGACGGATCGGAACCGCAGGTGGACCAATGTTCACATGAAAGCACATGAAATCGAATGGAGAATGAGCTGGGTTGTTGCCACCTGGCAGGGTAGGGGATGATTAGCTTAGCCAATGCAACGCTGCCGGCCCGGCAGTTTCATCCTTCCATGATTCGCACTACTTAGCCTGACACCAGCTCAGCCGTAGCACAAGTCTTGAAAGGAGCAGGCTTCATTCGGCCAGCGTTCGCTCGACAGTGCTTCTGTATACAGAGCGGCGGTTGCAGCCATGGCGGAAGCTTCCAGAGATTTGGCACAGGGCACCATCGAGGTTTGGGACTCTCTTTCTCTGTGTTGTGTGCGCGAGGCTAGATGGGGTCTTGACTGATTGGCAGGTGATGGTGTCCGAAGTGGTTTGCGCGAAGGAGCGGATGGAAGCGCGAGAGGTGCGAGCACGAGCGAATGAAAACGAGCTGGAAGTTGGCACAATTTTTATGGCCAGGTGGAAGAGGCATACCAAAAGTTTGAAGAAAGCGAAGAACACATTCAGGACTGCTTGTGTTTGGGCAGTGTTGGTGGCGGTGATTTGGGCAGGACCAGGACTATGTAAAGCCTTGTCCAGGAGTTGCTTGACAGGGGCGCCATCACCAACGATGAAGCTCGAAAGTTGCGGACGAGAGCCAAAATGCACCAGCAAGATGCCGCCAACTTATTTTTTCCGTGTGAAAGCAAGCTTGGCGCTTGGCTGTTGAAGCAGTTTTTCCTTTGACAAGGCCGAGCCCGAGAAACCCAAAATCTCCAGCGCGGCGGGTAGCCCAATTCCCTTGGAGCGTGATAAGATGCATGGGAGGGTTTTTGTGTGTTCGATGTGAGGTCATGGCAGGGGCAGACCAAATGACGAATGAGCAAATGATCGAAGAGGCCTTGAAAGGCAAACGCCGATTTTGGCTGCCTGGCTTGGGTTGGATCGGTCGACGTTCGCCATCGAAGCAGTCGACGACGAGCGACGTACACGCTACAAATCCGTCGCTTCTGTTAGGCTCATCGAATGGATGCGCAAGACATTCAGGCATGGGATGTCTTGCGCAAAGATCATGTTGGCTTGCTTCGATGAGTGTTTGGTTGTGGTGTGTTGGGTCCTCAGTGCAGGATCGACAAATTGCAAGATCGAATATCCCGCGAGAAGCGTCGACGCGCTCACCCAGAATTTGTGCATAAGCAGGGCAGCCCAGCCGTTCCCCCTGCGCACAAGCGACTTCGCAGCTTGGCGTCCGTGTGTGGGGGATGGCCATTTGCACCTGCTGCCAGGTGCCCCCTCATTGCCGGCATGGTGAAGTCTGGAATGACTGAACATACTTGTGCCGAAGAGTGCTAAAGCTGCCCGAAAGCGGTGAAAGTGCATCTTGGCAAGAGGTGGGGGTCGCCCTGTCAGGACTTTCGAGCTGGTGACCTTTTTTCTAGTTGCTCTGAACGGCCTCCTTACGGGCGTGCAGATCTCTGTCGCCACCTCACATGCATGCTTCACGATCTCACCATGGGATTCCTTCGCACTTGCATGCTTCAGCTGAGCATCTCAGGTCCAGGGAACCCCAGGCAAAGCACAACCCTGGGAATCATGTCCAAGTTGACTCGGCATTATACGTCGTTTGTGTGGTCTGCAGATGAGCTCGAAATTTACGGGCTGTTCGAGGAGTTCTTCAACGCATCGTCCTTAGCTGTAAGTTCTGCCCCTCAATTTGTTGATGTGGTGCCTTCGTGAAGTGCAGTGGCATGAAGTCGATGTGCCCTGAACTTGGCTCAATTGTTAGACTGGTTGTAGATCCAGTCAGTGCACTGGGATGGCCAGCATGAGCGTAGGCCAGGCAGCAAACAGTGGGCCCTTAACAGGCACCTGTGTCTTTTGCTGTGGTGCCTTTGGGAAGGTTTCAGCCTCAGAAATGTCATCACCTACCGACGGCCAGAGGAAGCACTTTTTACATCAGATGCAGTGCGCGCGCCCTACACCGGCCGCACGTCGTGGAAGCTGGAACTGTGGCTACCCTGATACTGTGCTGCCGTGAGGTGCACAGACTCCCAGGAAATCTTGCAACCCTTCTTCCTTTGTGAGCCCCCCGAGCAGGCCCGGAATCCTGCCTAAGGCTGCTCCTGTTCCGCCCCTCTTCCGCCAGGTGCGGCTATTCATCACGCTCTTTTGCGTGAGCGTTGCCGCGGGCTTGATCATACATCACCCGGCAGCGGTCAGATTCTACCGTGGCCTGACTATGCCTGTCCTGTTCAACGAGTTTAGAGCTGTGCCGAGCACTCTGGCCTTGGTCTTGCGCACCGCTATTGCGCTGCTTTTGAGAAGCTGAGGATTGACAATGCGCGCCAATCTGACGCACAATAGCCGCAGAGGTTTGGGATATACGGCCTGCAAGGCCTACGGCCTTTTCCCAATACCGAAACTGCCAGAAAGTCACTTCCAAATGGTTGGCTGGCTGCTCGCCAGTCTCTCAGCTCTCCAGTATTCTGCCGTGGCCAGGCGTCTGCCAGAGCCAAAATGATTTGAGATTGAGACTTAGCTGACTGAGGTCGTGTCTCTACTCCTAGCTTGCCATGCGCACCTGGCGCCGCGATTTTTCCTCTTTGCTGGATTTGGTTTGTACTTCCTGTACTTTGGGCAGCTGTTCTGCGAGCGACGTCCTAAGCATTCTGTTTGTTGAAATTCGGCTTCTTCCACAGCCAACTGCCAAGCGAGTCTGGGGCATGTCTTTTGCAGGTCCAAGCATGGCGGGCATGGCGCTCTGCTGCTGCCTTCGATCCTGCTGCTCTTGGCTCTGAGTGGCGGTCCAAGGGGGACTCCCTGGAGCCTTGCTTCTTGGCAATTGTGTAGAAAAACAGGGGTGGAGACGCGGTCGTTGTCGCTAACTAGCCACGAATGCCACACTTTGAGACCGACTCGTATGTTGAACAAGTTGCCAGGTGTTCATCAAGTTGTTTCTGGGAGTGGTCTACTTCGCCGGCGCTGTGTCGAAAGTTGTGGTGCCCTGTGTGTTTGGCCGGCCCTGGCTTGGCAGCACAATGCAAGCCTACATCCTGGATGCCATGTGGAGCCGACCGCACTCCTGGCTTCTGGTGCAGAAGTTGCAGCTTATACTGCTTCAACGGTGGTGGCTGTGCACCTTTATGGCGGTGTCCAAGACTTGGTTCGCCACTGCCGCCGGAGTTTCAAGTCGGTACGCTTGAACTGCCTAAGTGTAGAGCTTCAAACGCATCCAAAATTCAATGGCACCAGGTCAGCACTGATTTTCGAATTTGGATGGCTGCCTCTTGTAATGCTGGGCGGCCGAACGGGCTCTGCCTGCTCCTTAATTCTAGGTTGTGCTGTCGCGATGTTGGTCTCTTGCGCGGTGTATCAAGACTGCCGAGGTTCTTGCGGGAGCTGTGGCATTTTCATTTCATCTTGGCGTCGATATTTTGCAGGCCGACTTCCAATAAACTGCCAGAAAAATTCACGATTCTTGAGTTTGCCAACGCTCCTGACAGTCAGCTTGGTGGCAGGGTCTGGACTTCAAGCCATTCTGGTGTCCGGTTTTCTGGGTTTTCCTGCCGGACTTGCAGTCATTGTGGCATGGTCAGGCACGGGTGGGTGTGTGTGTGTGTGTAACACCTGACCGAGCAAATCCTCAGTGAAGTTCCGTATGAGGGAAGAATGAGGGTCGACCAGGATCTGCCGAACGAGACGTGGACGAATGTACTTGCGCAGGGCTTCGTTGAAGAGCCGTGCCGCTGGATCATGAGTGACTCAGTGTGAGACGAGACCCAGTGAACAAGTTGTTCCTTAAGCCAAGCTGGGATATGTAACGAAGACTTGGCCGTGAGGTGCAACGTACCTCGTCCTCCAGGTCATTGTTGCTATCCGCTTCATGGACTGCAGAGAGGGCATGGAGTGCTTGCCACTCACATGCTGCCCCATGTTTGCGGTGCCCCGCAACATCTTCGAAGACGAGCTCCGCGGAGGGGCGCTGCTCTCAGGGGCGGGATGTTTTATTTTTTTATTTGTCACGGTTGCCCTGGTCCCGGTTAAGGTGATGACCGACATGGATCTTAGAGGAGGTGGTTATGTGGACTTCGCCTACAACTTCTTTCCGTGGATGTCAGATCTTCCGATGAGAGATGTTGACATGCAGCGCATGCCGGGCCGGGTCCTCTTTTGGATGTCCACGCTTCATTGCGATCCTAATCTTACGAGATTGCTGAAGCCGGAGTTCTTGAACAAGGACCGTCTTTAGCGGTTAGAATCATTAGAAGTGGCTGAAAATGGTTTTGGCCATGCCTGGCGGTATCCAGTTTTGGGTTTTGAACAGTGCCTAGTGCCATGATTCAAGGCTTTTTCGGGCTGTCGGGCTTTTTCGCTATATGTCGGTGTAGGTGCAAAGGCTAGGGAAGTTCTGTTCGGGTCGGGATGCGCATTTTGGAGGAGCGGTTGCTGGTCGCTAAACACGCTGAAGCTAGTTTGAAGAGCCTGCGCAGTGTGGGACCGACTGTCGCCATTCCAGGTTGTGATTACAGTAGCGACCACAGCATGACTTTCAAGCGTGCGTCGTCTGCAGCCTGCAGATGCATGTGCAAACTCATAGCAGCAACCACCTGAACTTAGTGTGCTTTACTTTGCGTTGTAGAGCCTTGGAAGGCCCTGCTGTGCCTTCCGCCATTAGCCAAATTTGGTGTGAGGAGCTTCTTCTCAGCGCAAACTTCGAGATTTCACCTGCCCTGGAATCCAAGCTTCACGAATATGTGAGGCAGTTGGAGCAGGCCGAGATCGAATGTGTTTTGTTCATGCCCCATGCTGCCATCAGTGCCACAAGGCTTCCCCAGCAGACTGGGCTGATCCTGCCAAGTGCCTTTCATGCAGTAGCGGGTGTGCTGGCCAGTGGACCGCCAACACATGGCCGCACTACCTCAGGATTGGTTCCATCGTGGAGCTGCAAGCTGAGTGTCGGAACCTGTTTGAAGCGCATACGTGCCGCACCAAACCTCTTCAGGACTGTGTTTCGACTCGATTCCGAGCTGAGCCTTTACTCATGCTGGATCCCCACTTTGCGTACTGGCAGGACTGCGTCGACTCTGGCGAAATTAGCGTGCAGAGCTCTGTTTTGCCCAGTGTGAGCAGCTGACATCAGTAATGCTGCGGTGGTCGCGTCGAGGTAAAACAGAGTGGACCTGTCCTGTTGAACTTCATGAGCTTCTTTACGCCGACAGCCCTTGCGATGCACCGGATTATTCATCTGACGTAACTACTTGGTTCGGGGCGCGTTCCCGCGCGTGGTACGGAAGGCATGTACACAAGTCAGGACATGCAGAAAACATCGGCATGGGTGGGGTTCAAGCACTTTGGGAAAACTATGCTTATTTTGGGGGCCAGGCTTTCACACTACATAGTAGTTTTGAAATGACTGTCACTGTAGTTTTGGGGTATATATTTGGGAATTGAAGCCTGGGTCATGGGTTTTATGTTGAGGGTTAGCTTACAGGGAAACGCTGCAAATACCAGTGTTTTGGGCATAAACCGCTGTAAATACCAGCGTTTTGGGCATGGTCGCGAAAGGCATGGACGCTTGCGACAGATTTTCTGGTTCCACATCCTTTTGCAGTATGTTGTGCAAAGAGGCGAAAAAACGCTGGTGTTTTGGGCATAAAACGCTGTAAACACCAGTGTTTTGGGCATGGTCCCGAAACCACATCCTTTTGCAGTACGTTGTACAAAGAGGCGAAAACGCTGGTGTTTTGGGCATAAAACGCTGTAAATACCAGTGTTTTGGGCATGGTCGCGAAAAGGCATGGACGCTTGTCACAGATTTGCTTGTTCCACATCCTTGTGCAGTATGTTATACAAAGAGGCGACAACGCTGCAAACACCAGTGTTTTGGGCATGGACGCCATTTGATGACGTTCTTATCACCCCCCTACCCCGCCCACCCCCCCTCCCCCCTCCCCCCCCAGAAAGTCCGGAAAACCCGAAAATGTGCTCGAAAGCACACGCGCGGGAACGCGCCCCACTGCAACTACTTGTCGCTTGCGTTTGACATGCTTGTAGGAGAGAGTCAGTGCTCCCTTTAGGCTTCTCATTCATGCACCATGGCTGTTCAGGAAGGCCATCCATACGTGGCAGCGCACTGAGACTGAACGGTTTTCCAGCCTCTCAACCGAGGCACCTTGAATTTGTATCTCAAGGAGCTCGGGCTTTCCTGTTTGTTAACACTTAGGGTATTGTGGATTGATTTTCAGATATGTCTGTTCTAGCGTATGGCACTTCCACTGGGGGGGGGTTTCCAGCTGCACAGAGCCCAACTCGACGACTCTGTGAGCCTCGCAAGGAACAGGACGTGAAGGCGTAGTGGCACGTCTTCCATTCCTGCAAAAGCCGAAGAGCTTTAATTCAAGGAAAAACTCCATGGCGTTTCACCTTAAATGCAGAATTTTCAAGCAGTGGTGACAGCTGCTTGAAATCCAAGCTTGGCAATTGCCCTCTGATTCAAGACAGGCTGCACAAACCAGTTGCAGCAACTATGTTCTTTGCGTCTTTGGCTAAGTTTTGCTTCATCGGAGAGATCATTCTGCGCGTTATTGCCGACGGGTGGACGTGGACTGGGCCTCAGCCGCATAGGCCAGGCAGTGTGTGGACGCGAGCAGAAGCATCAAGGTTTTTTGCGGCCGGGAACGCCAGTGACGTGGAGCTTGCCTCAGGTGTAAATGTGTCCTGTATGTGCATAGCCATCCCACGGCTATTCGGAACTCTGTTTTGTTCCACCAAGGTGTTGATCGCAGTTACAGGCATGCTTGCTTCAAGTGGCATCGGCAAACGGACAGGGGCTGAGAGTAGCCGCGACAGGAATCATCCCAAGCTATATCTTGGGACCTGTCTTTGACTTCCAGAGCCCAGCCCTAAGCAATGTCCAGCAGCCTGCTTCGAGATCGAGATCGGCGCGTGCCCGTTGACTGGCTTCCGTCCGCCATGTTCAAGTGGCTCTTTACTAAATTGTGCTCTTACTATTGTTATTGTTGTTGTCATTTTATGGGCTTATGTCTCCCATTGATATCCCCGACTTGATTGAGACAAGCTGCTCCATACCATGGCGCACTGCACTGCGTCTCAGCTGTGCATGCGCTTCTCAGCTTCGTGTGAGGCAAGCTGCTCCATACTCAGCCACACTCTTAAGGAGCTCAAAACGCCCAGGCGTGAAAAATGCAACCTATGGAATTCTTTCATATCCATACATAACTCAATACCATTGGCTCTGACAATTTTGGTACTCATCGGGCGCTTTGGGGCCGAATGTCGCCATGAGCATGTGGTAGCACTTACTTTCTTCGACTTGGGTTACACATTCTGTGCAACTGAGGTCCACTTTTCCGGATTGGGCAGGCTTTGCGATGCATTCGCCTCATTCGAATCCTGAAAAGCGCGCGCAGCCAAGAGGGCACCAAGTAACATTCAGGGGTCAATTTGCCGCAGCTGCTTGTCATCCAGATCTGTGCGGGGTGGGGGACTCTTGAGGGGCCCAGGTTCGCACCATCAGTTATTTCCGAATTCTTTGGTCGCTCGCCGGAACCTCGGCAACTGCCGTCAGACTTCTGTGGCTTCAAGAACCCCCGAGTGAAGCGCAGGGCCCCTTGGCCTGAGGTCAGCGGTATTGTTGACAGCGGCCGTATTCTTCTGTGGACCCTGACGATCATCACGGTGGTCTTGTACATGCAGAAGCCCAAGTGCTTGTGGGGTTCGCGATCAGGATGCCCGGGGCATGAGGTTGCGGGTGAACGCTGAGGTTTTCCATCTTCTTCGTGCAGCTGCTGCTGCACTCTGGTCTAGAGTTTACAGAAGAAGTGCAAGAATCTGAGCCTCGGTCGCATCTGATATCATCGCATGGAGAGCATGTTTCGTTATGTTCAACTCCTTGCTGCTGGCAGCCAAGAGGTCATCGACATTCATTTCTTGACCGTCCCGGAAGCCATGTTCACGTTGTTTCAGGATGCTTTGCCTTGCCCAAGATGCTTTAGAACACAATTTTGAGTCACTACGACTAGTAACTAGTATTGCCTTCCGATGTTCTGCTTTGCAGTGCCTCACGCTGGATAGCTGGACATCATTGAGCCGACCGCTGCAAGTTGGTCAGCCGCTGCCCTACTCTCCACTTCCGTAGTGGAGCTGAAGAAGAGAGCCCTTGCTGAGTCCTCAAATCGGCATCCTCTGGGTGCTTTATGTGGCGGTGGCTTGCATGGCGCACACCTGAGTGCCACCTGAGAAACTGCCAAAGTCTGCATCAGTATTGCTAGGGGTTCCTTCTCAGAGTGCTACAAGCTTTTCCTCGGAAAAAGGTGCTGAACAATCTCGTCATTGCCGTCATCGTGAACAATGCATTTGCTAGAGCGGAGCAGGCGCGGGCGGCGGTCATGTAATCGAGCACATCAGAGGTGTAGTGGCAAAATGGGGAACCTTCGCAGGATGAAGAGCTCCAAGCCTCAATTGCTCGAGAAACAACAGAAGGAGAGCTGAATGATCTCAGGAGCGATTGGGAAGTTGAGTCCAGGCTGCGTGTCGCGAGAGTGTTCTTGGAGCCAGTCGGCACCTACTTTGGATGCATGGGAGGACTCTGTTTGATGAGCTTGTGAAGGAGGGCAGTGCGTACCTCACGCGAAAGGACGTGCTTGATGAAATCATGTCGCGATGGACCAGTTTGGTGTGCACATGTCTCAGGAGTATGAGCAAGCCCTCGGAACCAGCGAGTCCTTGTGCCTTGGTTCCACTTGGTGTCTACCCTCGAAGCCCTCAAGCGATAATTTTGATACTTGCCAGATACAGGTGGACGAAGCTCAAGATTGTCAACTTAGAGGAGAACGAGATTTTGAATCTTTGGTCGCTCTTTGCCTGCCGAAGAATGGCCTCTGGTCTTGTGGTCGATGTCAGATATCCCTTCAGCACCGGCACAAGGTTTATAGATTTTCCAGACGAAGTTGATCGCGAATATTTCGCTTCACAGATTCGAAACCTGAAAGGCCGTGCTTAGCTGCGCTCTGGACTTTGTGCTATGAAGTTAAGAGCCCTGCAGGCGAATGCAAAGCAAAAACCAGCTTCACCGTGGCCATGACTCTCAAGAAACTAGATACGAGACTAAATCAGGCAGGGGCCTCTGCCAGCAGTACCTACAAGCCATGCTGGTCCATTGGCTGAGCTTTCGTGTGAAGCACTCCGTGAGGCCAGAACGAATTTGGAGGTGCATAAGAGGATGTGCGAGGCTGGTGTGTGCACTTGTCGAACTGCCTGTGCTTGTGCTGCTGACGTCTGTACTTGGACGGATGGGGATTAAGCTTCACAGTGTCACTTGGTTGGCATTGCTAGCTTCAGCACAGAATGAACTTACAAGACGTGCGAAAAGGGCTATGGGCTACTGGCGTTTCGAAATTTTCCGAGCTCGCAAAGCTTCAACCTTCAGCTGAAATTGACAACACGAATTCATCCTCACACCCATTCCGGGTCAGAGTTGAGAATTTCCGATCCCAATTCTCAACTTTTTTCTCAACGCATGTTGGCCCAGTGTTGGCCATGTTGGCCCGAACTCGTACATCAAATCGGTCAGGGAGGTTCCCGAAGACTGCGAGACTCGATCACGAGAGAACAGGGCACGAAGGATCTGGACAGCACCTGCTGGAAAGTGCGTCCAAGCGAAGAGCAGCTTTACTAGTACGACATTTCTGTATGTTTTAGGCTCCTCACGCTATTTGCAAGCAGCTTGCGCAGTCGGCAGGAATTGAAGAAAGAATCGAGAGAGGCCGGTGCAAAAATGCAACTTGACTGCACGGGCTTTGTTCAGCCGTCTTTCCAGGCGCAGGTCGAGCTGTCGAGAACGCTGTTTGAGGCCTTGTCTTCGACGGCGATAGTGAGAGTTTCATCGTAACGTCACATGTGACATGCTGATGGCTCCGCAGTTGCGGCAATTCATGATTCTGACCTACCGCTGCGTACCGCCCTTTGCAGCTTGCAAGCCTCCGGTTTGACCGCATGTCCTCATTTTTGCTTGCCGAGATACCATCAAATGCCACTGTCACCACCAAGAAGAAAGTCCAGAAAGTGGGTGAACAGGTTGGTGGTCTTTCAGCGGATTGAGGTGCTGCAGATGACCCTCAGACACTGTAGTGACAGGTTTCGACAAGGGTGCAACCACTGTGCCTCGCCCAGACAAACGACTTTAAAGACGAGCCTGTGACGACTACCTGCTGGCTGCCTTTGCTTGAGGCTCACGCCTATGCTGAACTACCCCGTCGAACGGGTTCCTATGGGCCGCGACGAGCGGCCTTCTCAGAAGCAGAGCCAACCATAACATTAGAAAAAATAGTGTAAGTAGTGGTATTGGGAGGAACCTGCACAAGCCACAAAGCCGCGCAGCACCGAGGCAGCAAGGTTGGGCACTGCCTGGCGAAGTGGTCGAGCAAGGCCCGGAAATGACGCTGAAGCCTGGCATGCAGCCCGGCGCAGTGCCTGGCGCAGCGCGCGCCATCCAGAACTGAGCATCAAACCTCCAGCGAACGCTGGAGGCAGACTGCACAGTTTCGGTCTCACGGTTTGAATTGAAAGTTTTTTAAGACCAGTGGGTCGAAGCACACAGCGACACAGATGCATTGCAGACATGTTGGCTTTCAGCTGGTTCTTGTACTTGCTCACATCACGCCTTGCTCACATCACGCCTTTCGTTGTCCTTTAGTCACTTCAGTCACGTACGTGCTTCGGCCGGAGCCAACCGGACCAACCCAACTGTGCTGATGCAGAGCTTTGGGAACAAGAATCCAATGCGCATCACGCTCAAACCTGCAATTATAATCGCGTTCACGTCAGCCGCAATTTCCAGTTGGTTAGGGCTCAAGTTTGCGGCAGCTGCTGCTTGGATCTTCACGGTCTGCTTCAGGCATCCCCGTGCTATCTTATGCTTCCGATGTTTTGTTTTCTGCACTCAGCCAGGTCAAAGAATGCCTCTGGAGACCAAAGACAGACGCGCGAGCCGAGCCTGGCGCTTGACTCCTGCGGCCAACTCACCTTTGGATGCGAACCAGCATCGCGAGCAGCGAGCCTTCCGCTCTCGAAGCTGGGAGGAGCCTGAGACCAGAGACCTGGCAGGAACTTGTTTTTTCTTTGTGCACTGTGACACGAAGCGCGCTGCACTGCACTAAGCTCGGCTAGCAGTAGAGGCATCCGAAGAAAAGATGAGAACGATGAGAACCTTGATCAAGACCGAAGTTCTTCCGTTGAATCGCTGAGGTCATCCGCGTGCAGTCTTCAACCTTTTCTGCAGCACTTGCCATTACCTCCTGTCTGAGCATGGCGAAATGATGCAGATGATGGCGAATCCATCTTCTTTTGCATTCGCCACAAGTGAGCCTCCGCAAGGTGTTGTGATGACGGGCAACTCATGCAAGTCGCCGGAAAGCTGTAGTTGCAAAGTTCAGGACTTCGAGTGTGGATGTGGAGTTCGACTCGGCTACTACTTGCTTTCGCCCTGTGAAGAGTGCCAGGATGCCAAGACCGTGCGGAAATGGTTCTTGTGTCCAAGATCTGTTGAGGCCGAGCCCCACGAAGCCGAGAATGTGGTCACCTCCCAAGAGAAACCAGCGTCGCCGCAATTCGGATGCAATATGCTTGCATATGCTTGCTGTGCCGTACGGGTGTAGGGTTGTCGTTCGCAAGAGACGGGTGCCATTGCCAGGTGCGTGCAGTCATACTTGGAGGACCACCAGTTAATGGCGGAGTTTCTAGAACGCATCGAGGGCTTGGAGGTCTCCGATCCGATCCCAGGCTACCCTGCAATGAAATCGCAGCCTGCGCCTCCTGCACCTCCTGCACCTCCTGCGCCTCTTGCGCCGCCCGTGCCTGCGACACCTGCATTTGCCAGACCTCAGGCTGACCCCTCAATGTCTGCAGTTCGCACGGTGAGCGCTCGAGAGGAACATCGCCAGGAACACTGCGAGCACCAGCACCTCGTTCCTCAAATTCCTCAAGAAACGGCAGGGCGGCCGGAGCTGCAATTCGGGGCAAGGCCAAGCGAGATGGTTTCGCGCGACGTGGACTCCAAAGCAGATAGGGCCCAAGGGGCCCAAGCGGATGCACCGGATACCGTGGTCCGCTTTCAGGAGGCTCGCTATGCAGCTCTGGAGGCTCAGCTGCGCGTCTCCCAGGCTGCGGAGAGCGCAGCGCTGGCCGAAGCTCGCGCTGCGCGGGCAGCTGTGGAGATCCAAGAGCTCGAGGACTTGGACATAGATTCTCTGCAAGCACTACCAGGAAGTCGGCTGGAGTTTGCTCAGCGCCTGGCCGAAAAAAGAATGGAGTTGGAGAAGTGGCAGCAGGCGCTGCAGCAGAAAAGCCAGAGATTGGAAGAGGTAGAGAAGATGCTGTGCAGTACGCAGGGACGAGCCGCAAGGCCAAAGCCAGCAGAGGGAGGAGCAAGGTCCTTTCCGCAGCCTGCCACGGAGCCATTCGGCACCGCCACGGAGCCATTTGGCACCGCAGAGTTCGTGGATGGTGCAAAGGCAGGTGCAAAGGCAAGCGCCCTTGCCATTTTCGCTCTCGCCAGAGCTGGACTGGCTGCGTCACGACTTATCATCAACGTGGCCAAGCCCGTTCTTGGAGGTTTGAAGTCTGCTGGTAGTACTACCGTGCACTATGTTGCTGGCTATGTCCAGTCCTCGATAGCGAAAGCTGCTCTTGATGCGCAGCAGCGTGAGATGGCGCAGGCCTGGCAGTTTGAGGGTTTGTATGCACGCAGAACACGCAGCCAGGGCTAGTCGCGCATGATGTGAGTTTGCACATGTCTGCTACAATCATGTGCTCATAGCCACAGGCAACTTCGATAAGGCGATCGAGATATTACGCCGCATCTATGGGTACAACTGTGGCGACAGCGAGTCCCAGACTTGATGGCAGCGGTGTGCCTCCCGCCCGCTATGGGCGCCAATGGGACAGCCCTGCCCATCCGAACCCGACCTTGTGCAGCCATGGTCCTATGATGTCCCCTGGATGGCAGCCATCCCCCATTTACCCAGTGTCTCCGGCGCCTTCCATGCATTCAGTTCCTTTGCAGCCTGTCTATGAGCGCGAGAGCATGCTCGGTTGGATTCGTAGAAATAGCGGATGTGGGTTCCGCCACCGCCCAGCTAACGCCTACCAGACCTGGCCTCATGCTGTGCGGTGAAGTGCAGAGAGAGATGTCGCCCGAGCCGATGTAGTTGTTTATGTTGCTGCGATTTGCTACTTTGCACAAACTTCAAGTGCCCATCATGCATCTGTGCAGTAGTGAGTTCCTGCATGGCAGAGCCATTAATTAGTGCAGTAATTTGTGCATCAACTTTGCAACGGCGTGAGCTGGTGGAGGAAATGATATGCCAGAAGCCTTCCAGGCATGATGTAACACGTTTCCTGCAACATGTTGCGTGTCCGCGCGTGGGCGTGGGCTGATGGCTTGAAGCAAACTCAAAGGTCGGCATCATGTCCGCAACATTCAGCTCAGCACCACCAGCTACAGCCGTGCATGAACATGCACTTCCACCAGCGTCGAGGCCTTTGCAAGTGCACCGTATGCTTTTAGTTTTAGCAAGAGCTCCTCCGTGATAGTTTTGATGGCTGATCCCGTGTCGTAGGCAACTCATGCCCGGCAAGAGTCTGGATGCAGGCAGCTCTGCTGCAAGTTTTGATGTGCAGTTGCATTGTGCGGTGGGATCGTCACATGGTACGAGAGAGCCTCTGCAAGAGCCTGTTGGCACAGCCCATGGAAACCCCTGGTCTGGCAAGGATGAGGAATATGCTTGAACATTCACCTCGCTCACCTCCATGTTCAACAGTTGAGTGCTGCCCTGTCAACCCGAATTGTAAGCTGTAGCGACAAGCTCGAAACCTCGATCCACTTTGGGAAAGGCAGCTGGGGGAATCGGAATGGGGCTTCAAACTGCAATCGGAGGTATCGTCCTTATACAACACGTAGTAAGCGGTATCCCCCTGCAGCTACCAAAATGTCAACTAGCTCCGATCGGATCTGGTTACTGCCAATGTGCGATGCGCTTATTAACCGGCGAGTCTCATATGCGCGTTTGCTTCGGGAAATCCGAGTAGTGCTCGTGGTATCCAATGAGGAGTTATAGCTAGGCAGCCACAACAAACGGCAGCCTTCGATCGAAAGCACTACCACGTTGCTTCCGAGTGACAGGTGACAGGGCATCCTACAGAAGCTGCCATAAGCTACTTCCTCCAAGGAATAGGGGTTTCTGAGACTTGCAAGACGAGGAGATGCAAAAAGGCAGGTGATGGGGAGGTTGACCAAATCGCCCGTGTCCACCGCCATTTCTGTGCCAGGTAGTCGACGCCCTCTATCTTCCACCGGCAAAAGCATTCTGGGATTGACAGGCGGCAATGCACCATTCATGCAGAGATTTTCCAAGCTTAGCTCTCAGCTTCACATACGCCTTGTCTTGCCTCGAAGGACGCTCGACGCCAGCTACAGCTGCAGATGCAGGGAAGGAGTGGAAGGAGAGCAAGCTTGCGACGCAGACCCCTTCAGCGGCCTCCAGCTCCACTTCCAAAAGCTTTGCTGTCCAAGCGGGCAGCAGTCTGGCTCAGAGACAAAGACCTCCCAGTGCAAGTGCCCCCTCGAACATTCCATGTGCGGAACAGGATGTTCGGAATGCTCTGATGCAGATGTTCCTGGCTTTCGATGAAGATGGGGATGGGCTTCTGCATCCATCCGAGTTTGCCGCTGCCGTCGCGGCACTGGCAGCAACAAAAGAGCAAGGACAGGCGTGCTTCGCGAGCCCAGTCGTGACGGGAGAGCGGGTGGGAAGTGCAGACTTTGTGACCAAAATGATGGCCATAATCCCGGCCCTACGCCTTTCCACAGCCGAAGTGGTTCAGCACATCAAAAGCTGCATTGCGGCAAGGCCCAGCAACTTTGAGAAGTCCGTGAGCGATCTCCGGCAACTGAGAAGATATGGGAAAGTGTTGTAGCGACATTGTCGTTCGGGGTGAAAACGGGGGCTTGACATCGGCTTATGGGGGTGCCCACAACATCCACAACTCGTGCCAAGGCATGCCCTTGTTCGAAACGTATCCGGTTTGCCAGACGAATCGACCCCGAAGCCTTTGTGGAGGACATCTACAGGCAGAGGTGCTTTCGCCTTGCCTCCTGGCGTTGGCAGCGGGCCGTTGATTGCTCGAATGGCTTTCAAAGTTATGCAGTACATGGGCATGCGGACAGAAGATACCACGATTATGGATGGTGGGCTGGTTGCACGAGTGGCAGGTCACCGGCAGACATTCAAGCAGCTTCTGGACAGGGCTGGCGAGATCTCGGGCGCTCAAGTGCTAGCATCTGCTGGTGCCGGTGGGAAATCGGTGGACCTGTATCTCATGAAGTCGCCCGGAGAGGTGTTTCATGTCTGCCTGATAAACCTTCAGCTGAGCTCTGGGCCGGAGCCTGTCGTTCAAGGGATCGGCGGCTTCGATGTCGGCCCAGTTGAGTCGGTCACCATTCCCAAGGAGCTCTGGTCTGAGATGTGCCCTGACCTCTGCAGGTCTAAGGAATCTGCCCAAGATAAGGGCCCTGTCGAGTTGCATCGAAAGTTATCTCAGGGCGAGATCGACTGGCAGAACGCACGGCTCGTGCTCAAGGCCACGCCAATCGCAAGCCATGTCTTTCGCATCCGGTTCAAGCTGGTAGCTAATGAACCCAGCAGCAATTACATTGTTTTGATCCCCAAACTCAGGACCATAAGTGAAGGACACGCCAGGTACGCCTCACGCACAGTGTCGGTTCAAGGTGTGCCTGACAGCTCGACGACCGAGTTTGGGAGTTTTGTGCTTGTCAACCTGCGTGGGGATCAGCTCGAAAGCGTTTCCGTGAAGCACGAGTTCGTGAACCAACAAGTGCGGATAGTTGACACTAAGCAGGTGGGTGAGGACAAGCTGCCCGACCTGCCCGTACCGGTCCTGTCGCCCGAGGAGCGGGCATCCTGCCTGTCCTGCAACGGCCAGGAGCTGCGTTCGCTGCTTTCAGGCCAGGGGTTGGGACGTTTGAGTGGGGAACGCGACGTCGCGTACGCGATGCGGCTTGGCCGTTGGCTACGTAGCTGCAACTATGACGTTGCGCTGACGGATGCTGAGCTCAAGCGACTTCCGACCCTCATCTGGGAGACGAAGCGTGGTGACTGCTCAGCTTTCAATGTGGGGTTCGTTTTTGCATTGCGCGCGCACCAGATCCCAGCTCGCGTCTCACTGGGCTTCAAGTATGGGCAGGCCGTGCTAGATGCCTGCGGGTCAGTGGTCGCTCCACATGCTCAAAGTGAATTTTTCGCTGAGGGAGTTGGCTGGATTCCTTGTGATGCCACTGCGGGACTGCATCGCCTGGGACATGAAGCCACCGGCATGCTGTCCTTCCTTGAGTTTCGGCCGGCCAGCCTCAGTGTAGCAGACTTGGAGGATCTAAGGAAGGTGCTTGGGCCAATTGCCGCCACAGAGGCAAACGACGAGGATCCTGCTTACAGAAAAGAGGTTCTGCTGGCCGCCGGACTCGAGAGACATGGCGGACAGGGTCTTCCAGCAGAGCTGACCAGACTCTGCATGGCCTATTCCCTGGGAAGCTTCAGAGACCTGCGGGCTGGTGACCCACTGACAGACTGTGCACGGGCTGGTGCCAAGATGTTTGAAGGTGGGCCCTTTCGTGGGCAGCCGTTGAAGCTGAGCCAGCTGAACGAGAACATGCTAATTCCAGCTGAGATTGATGCTGTGATGGATCATTTGCATGCCCGACCTCGTGCTGAAGACTGGTCGAAGATGTGGCCTTATGGTGTCATATCTTGCAGCTATGAGTTTGAGGAGAAGCAGCTGTAGCCATGTGTAGCCTGTGCGAGCAGCGGCTCGCTTTGACGAGCTTCCCCAGCCATTCAGAAGCCATTCAGAACTTTCTAGAATGAAATTGTTCGGCGGCGCTGAATGTGCGAGCTGTGTCGACAGCCAGTCCTGACAGTGCATTGTATAGACTGCACTTGGATTTTGGCATTTTTCTGGGTTGCTTGGTTCCGTCGAAGACTGGAGCCACCTAATTTGTTGCAGGCGCTTACGAGGTCCGCCGTCAGAAAGCCAGAGAAAACACTAGCCACACCATAAGTCGTGGGCTTTCACGACGATACTAAAGGAACTTGTGACCAACGACCTCCGTGGCACGCTTTATTCAGTATACAGTATAATTGCATGTCCTGGTCGCTGCATGCCCAGCTGGGTTTAGCCGCGGAAGACGCCTCCCCATGTGGCCTGTTGCCTCAGCGCCCAAGCCCCTTGGCCATGTATATATTGACAGCTGCAACGCTGCTGTGGCGCTGCCTGGGTTCATTAGTGCAATGAAGCCTCAGGCCCTTGCCACCACCCGCCTCACCAGGCAGCGTGGAGGCGTCCGCAGCATCAGCAGACATCAGCAGCATTAGCTGGAAGGGAGAGTTATCTTTTGCAGGTGCGGTTTGAGCGCCAAAGATCTTTTCCTGGCAACGCGCTTCAGGCAGCGTATTATTGAAAACCTCATAGCCACAGGCGGACACACATGCATTCGAGTGTCGCCGGGAGCCAAAGCAAGCTGCTAGTTCGTAAGTCGTATCCTGGGTAACCATGCCCTTCACCATAACAAGCAGCCCTTGCTGGGCAGGTGACGTGCGAGCTCCTCTTCACAGGCATGGCATCATTTTTTTGAATCTGGTTTTTGTTGATTTTGTTAGGTGTTGCTGGGTTGAGCATGAAGCAACCACAAGCAACCTATGCAGCCCGGTCTCCAGGCTACTTTTTCTTCTGGCCAGCTGCAGCTTCAGTACATGCACTGTGTGCAGAACGGGTCATGGACACCCACATGAGAAGCTTGGGTGATTTTGGCATCAAGCAACTTTGCTTCGTCTGCACGCCTCACATTGTGTCACAGCAAGCGTGAAGATTCGGGGATGCATTTGGTATGTATTGGTGTGAAGATTGGCTTGACTGTCTCTATGTGTACATGGACCAGTGGAATGGAAGCATAGGATCAATCTTTTGAGAATGGTTTCTATGGCCACCACCGAAGCCCCAGAACATTCAACAGTCATTCAGCCATTCAGGCATTCCTCAGCCCTAATTGCGATCCCGACAAGTCTGTGTCACGGCATCAAGAGTCAAGAGCCGATTCATAGCCAGAAGTTGTCCAGACATTCTGCTGTTAATGTCTTGGCACCGGCTAACGTCAGGACGAAGCCTCGCCCAGAGAAAGGAAACCGATGTTGGGTCCATGCTCGTTGCAAGGTCGGCACTTTGGTGTGGTTGGCACTGCCGGAAGCTTTCGAAATCAGAGAAGGGGCTTCGTTTAGATTTCGTTCGCATCTTGGCCCCCGCCTTGCGGGGACATCTGTGGACCAAGGTCTCCTTGGGCTCTCGGTTTGTGCTCATGGGCGAAACTCTGGTGCTTTTCCGCCTTCTACACCATACAGCTTGTCGCCTTGCTCTCAGCTTTGGGCTCCAGTATGGAAAGAGGGCTTGGCATGAAAGGGGTGTGATGATGTGTACCGTTTGTTTCTGCCTTTCCTTTCGAGGCCTATAGGCCTCATTTGAGAAAGGGCTGGCCCTTCCATTGGATCCTGGGTTGCACAAAGGAAGAGTCCAAGTCAAGCAAAGGAAAGTTTTATCTGGACAGAGGCAGTTGTGCTTCCAGCCTGCAGTCGCAACTGCTGGTCAGAGGCTGCTTTATGGCCCTCTCACGGATTACGTGCTCTGCTATCATGACGCCACCGTCATTCGGGAAGGTCCTGCTCCAGATCCCAAGGCCGCGGCCGTGTCACTTAAAGAGCTGGGGCACGTTTGTAAAGCGCAGGGAAAGTACCTCTTCGCCATGTACCCACATGGCGGCCACCTGAGAGATGACTCATGCTTGGCATTCTGGCCTTGCTTTCGTGTTTGGAGGCGTGTACGGCGTGTGCCGTGCCTTCTCTGGGGGAGTGGGCTGCTGGCGAACACTGTTCCCAGGCAAGGATGACAAGCTTGATGGGATTGCGCTTCATGTTGGGTGTGTAGATGATCCCGAAGCCGAAAGATGACCACAGGAATGAAGCAGCAAAATTCAAAAGGCATGAAGGGGTCTGGCAGCCCCACCCACCCGCCGTGACATGACACACCACACCCCACCAACCACCCGACACCTTCCCTACCACCACTACTACCCCCAGCAACCCTGGCATCATCCACCGCACCACAATGCCGCAGCACGGCCGGACGGACATGATTAACTTCCGAGACTTTCAGATACCGGAGATTCCAAAGAAGCCGCTCTGCTCAGAGTTGATAGTAGGATTGGGATTGTTGCAGGCATCGCTGCCCGCCAGAGGCTCGGCAGATCTCGGAAATGGCATTGCCGCCGAATCCGGAACAAGAGCTGCGCAGTCTGCGATCTCAAGTAGACAAGGTTGGGGAAGCTTTGGCGCGGCTTTCCTCCTCCCAGGCCAAACCACGGCTGGTTTTTGAGTATGTCCCGTAGTGTTGCGAGCCCAGCCGATGCTAGGGATTCGGGAAATGTCGCTTTTCTGCGGCTGCATCGATGCCTCAAAGCGGGGAGCTGAGTGGAATGGACGGCTGGGCGATTGGCAAGTTTTCACACATGTGCATCATATGCATGTATGGAAGCTGCACCAGGCCAGTGCTAGAACGGGCCATTCGACGAGGCTGCTTGTACACCCCACCGCGATTTGCCACTCTGACATCACAGCCTACTGACAGACGAAGTCATGAGAAGTAATGCCCACCGGCAGGGGAGAACATTATTCTGCTACCTGGCGGAATTGATGAAATGAATCTCACGGACGGCGAGTCCAAGGATGGCCAATTCTGCTCTTACACGTCGCTTCCAAGTCAAAAACCTTACCAATCCTCAACGTCAGGACACACAGCTAGTCATGACGGACCGGAAGGGCTTTGTGAAGCTCGATGGCTGCAAAGATGGAAAGGGCAGTGAGTTTGGACCCGTGCCGGGCATTCCGTCAGATCGTCTCTGATCCCCGGTTTCGCACAGGCTCTCCATCGAGAACGGTATGGACATCATCCCGGGCTTCTGTTTTGGAGAGAAGCGCCTTGACCATGAAAAGTGAATGGTGGCCGTTGCTGAGGGAAATGGTTTCTAGTGAACCTTCGCAAGGTGGATCCACCACACCATCAGGCTCCCCCACTTCATACAGAAGCTTCTTCGCCCCCTGAGGTCTGCGCCCTAGCCGTGCTCGCAAAAACGTAACTGTCTGCATGTCGCCGTATGTATGCGTTTTTTTGGTTGACTTGGTGGTATTTGGTGGTGCTGGAGCAGCGAGTTTCGCATGGGCTGAGGATGAGCGGCACGTTGTGCCGACCTCATATGTGTTTGTAGTGTGCAGTACACGTACCATGCGTTCGTTGTGGTTTGCGCGCAGCACCTCGCTAGCTTGCCACCTCTGAAGGCTGCGTGGGCGAGGGATCACTCTGATGGGGTTTCTTGATCCTCCCCTCGGCTATGTCTGGGGTGAGCCTATCAAGGCCAGTGAAGGTCTGCATCAGTCCTGTGACAAATCCACTCATATAGCAGGTGCAGCAGCAGAAGCCTGTGGATGAGAAGTACCTGGATGAGGCGCTGAACGATGCCATTGTTGTTGTGCCGCGTGGAATGCCACCTCGTTTGAGACAACTTGCTTATACTTTTGCAAAAGGTGCATCAAATGGTTGCTGATGCCGTGTTGGACATGTTCAAAAGACACAAGGCCGCCTTGCGAATTCCTGCAAGTTGCAAAACGAGAACTGCGCGGGCATGTGTGACCTTGGCAGGCGCGCTTTGGTTACGCAGAGGACGAGACGCTCTCCCTCGTGAGCGCGGCAGATGCCAAGAAGAAGGCTTCTCCGGTTTGTCGACGACCGAGGGTGACATGCAAACTGTGCAATTCGGCGCGACTTTAGCCGGGAGGTCATTGCCAAGAAGCGAGACTGACACTTGACACAACGGCGCCGCCAGCAGTCCAACTGCTGGCGCCAACTGCTGGTGCAGAAGCGAAGCAGCCTGAAGAGAAATGAACATGTTTGACCAGCAGCTGAAAGAAAGGCATGACCACGGTGATGACAACCTTGGGTCTCCGTCTTTGTGAGACGCCAACTGGAAGTTGTTAAAGGCTCAAGATTGATATTTCGAGTTTGCAATCCATAGCAGGGGCATGCTTAAGCAAAACACGTTTGCGCATGCAATTTCGGCAGCGATGCCTAGCTTGGCGCGTAAGTCTAAGCTTCAGCCGAGCACATTGACTGCTGCGGCTCCTGCCATCGTGCAATCTTTGCCTCACGCTTGCAGGGGCCCCAAGGGCTCAAGGGATTTTGCTTATTCTGTTTCCATTTCCGATATCTTCGAGTTGGGCCGAGATGAGGCCACATGCTGAGCTTCCATGGCCAGCACCTACTTGCCAGAGGGCTCGCAGGACAGGGCAGCTGTTGAAGGGGAGTGCAGCAGCACCTGACACTGCTTGGGCGAGGTCACTGGAACGCCCTTGGAGAGGTTGGTGGAGCATGGTGAAGCAACGGGAGTGGTGAGGGGACTCTGATGTCTCTTTTTGTGCAGGTCCAATGTGTTTCGGCGGCAGGGGAATGAGTTGTACTGCAAGGACAGCACCGGCACATCAAATGGGCATCCATAGCACAAGGCAGTGGCCCGAGAGAGCCGATACCTCGACAGGCTCGAGAAGTGGCTCGAAATGCGGATCCCTACACGAACCTGAGAGGGGTGCTCTTGCCTGAGAGTTTTCCAGCTTGAGATTCGTGGGGGGCATGTCAGGCGCAACCATTTTTTTGTTATGATCCGGGGGCAATGTGTGGAAAGTCGGTGCGACCGAGGCAAGAGTCGGTGAAGCTGTTTCAGGCTGCCATGGCCGAGTATGGCAAGGCTGATCGGAAGGCGGTTCAGCCGAGCTCCCATGATGCTCGGCCACAGGCTTTGCATTTCCTTCCAAACGACCATCGGCTGCTTGTGACCCAGCTGCCACCTTTTGATAATTGGCCCATATTTCGCCATTCACATGTCGTCAATGGATCTGCACGGACGTGCTCTTCTTTGGAGCATTCTCAATGTACGGTGCCGGGATGCACGGGCAGTGCAACGGCCTTGAATGTAAGAGTTGGCTGCTTCAAAGGTTTGGCAATCGAGCTCTGTGCTACCAGGCTGGTCTTCCATGTCAGGCCATAGACACTCTCGAACAAGAGTTTCATGCTCTGCTGCAGCAGGCCGTGGAGGACTGGGTGAAGTGCCGGGAGGACCCTCAGCACGTGCAGAATTAGGTTGGGGAGAATTTGCTGTTGATTGCACACACGTGGCATCTCAGGACGCGCAGCGCTGTGTCAAGTTGAAAAGCGACTACGTAAAGGGATGGCTGCTGCTTGCCGCGAGCCAATTCGTCCTTTGCAATTGTCGGAAGGTCTACGCATGCTGCATCATGACAGCATCGTTGCAGTTTCGTGCGAGGTCAAGGCTACTTGGGAGTGCGCGACTCAGACTTAGCCGCTCCTTGGGCAGAGCCGCGTCATGCCGAATCAACAACTAGCTCATCGCTGCCCGCAGGCTGGGGCATCACAACGAGGCGATGCAGGACCTGCACAGTGGCATCTGCCTCAGACAAAAACAGAAGCTGCTCCAAAAGGGTAGCGGTGCATCCAAGGATTGCGGGCGATTCCTGGCTCCCGCGACTTGCTGGACCTGCAGGCTTTGGATATAGTGGTGTAGCATGGTGTAGCGCCCTCAGCGCCCTGGCAGGCTGCTCTCACTTCCGGCCCGTGTCTTGAGGGATCGAGTCATGCTGTTAGGCTGACTTGCTTTCCAATGCAGTGGTTGAGGCCACCAAGCCCGTATGGCCGGGCGGAGCGTGTGCAGCCTCCAGAATTTCTGGTGTTTGCTGTTTGCTGCATTCTGGATTCTGCAAATAAGTTGCAATTGGCAATCGCCCGCAGCCATGCCTACCCGACTTCAGGTCTCCGGCATGTACACCTGGCAACACGTGGCGTGCTCAAAATTTTTTATAACCTGCTTCCAAACTTCCAGTAGCTTCCTGGAGTCCGGTGCGTTGGCAAAGGCCGCCTGTGTCGCGCTCAACCACGCCACCCAGATCTTTGACACCGCCACCAGGGCTGCACCCTCGGGATCAAAGGGCTGCCAGGAACAGAACCTTCTACAGTTCAAATCCTGCACATATCCAGGGTTTTCCTTGAAAGGCACCCATCCGTCAGTCTGGCCTGCTTGTGCCTGTGACTTCAAGCGGCTCTCCTTCCTGTCGTTGCGGCATGCTGCAGCTGAACTCTATAGCGCACACACTGAACACGCATGCAAGGCCACGTTGCCGGCCATTTCGATGGGTACAAGCTCCGGGAGATCGCCCGGGTGGCCTGGCAGCATCTGCGTGTTGAAGTTGGATTGCTTTTGATTCGCCGCAGGGGCTCCAGACCATCCTCAAGATCTCCGGGCGCGGCTCGTGCGCTAATGCCTCAGCGTCTCAGACCAGGCTGTCAGCACTTTGTTGGTGCTGTCTAAGACCTCTATTTGAATCTAGCTCCGATTGCCCCAGTATCATGTCAGCTTCATGTCTGATGGCCTCGTGTTTTGACATGAAGCTCCTTGCGAAGCTCAACTTCAATTCATGACTCCCTGACAGATGTACCCGACTGCCCCAGTCCAGTGCGCAGCAGCCCCAAGCTGCTGGGATGGGATCCTCACACTGCAGTGCACGCCCCAACCGGATGTGTCTCAGCACTCTCCCAAGTTGACAACATCTGTTCTGAGCAGCTTGGTGAAGAAGGGGAAGATGGATGCGGCCTTGACCTTTTTGGCGAGCTTGCGAGCGCATCATCTCTTGTCAACTGTGGCCGTCAATATGGTCATTGCCGCAGCTGGGCGATGCTGCTCTTGGACGTTGGCCGTTGCCCTTTTGCAGGATATGGAGTCGCGCTCTCTTTGCTTGACCGTTGTCACCCTCAACTCGCTGCTGAGCTCACTGCATCGGGGCTCCGTGTGGCGACAGGCATGCAGAGCTTTCTCCGGGCTTTGTGACCATAGGGTCACCGTGGTCACACCCGACCAGATCACCTACAACGTCTTGATCAAAGCTTGCTCCTTGCAGCGTTGGGAAGCTGCGCAGGACCTCGCATCTTCCATGCGGGCCGGCGCTGTGCAGCCAGACAAATACACCTACAGCTCCCTGCTCTCCGAAAAGAGCTGGCAGGTTGCACAGGCGGCGCTGGAGACCAGGAGTGTGAACAGTGTGAACGGTGTGAACAGTGTGAACTCCATGGATTCCGTGGATGCTGCGTGCTTCCGGGCCTCCATTGGGAGAGGCTGCTGGGAGCGATCCCTTGCTGTCGTCTCGCGGATGCGTGCTCTCGGCTTGCTCGGCCTGCGGACGGACGGCGGATCCCAGGCGCTGAACGCGCTCTATGCCTGCCTGGGCAAGTGGCGATGGGTTCTCCAAGGTCTCGACAAAACAGGCACCAGCGATCTTCTCAGGCTGAACTCTGCAATGGACACATGTATCAAATCCCGCCAGTGGCGAGTTGCTGTGAACGTGTTCTCACTCCTTCACATCTCTGGGCTGAGATCTGACATTGTTGGACAGAACTGCTTGATTCAAGCCATAAGGCACCAGTGGCAATGTGCCCTAGAATGCCTGGCTGGAATGTTGAGATGCCGCATTTCACCGGATGAGCCCAGCTACATTGCTGTCTTTGGGGCCTGTGCTCGAAGCCCGAACGCCAGGGAGACCATACGTCTGCTGTTATCGCACATGTCCCTCCACAGCCTGGAGCAAAGCGTGGTGACATGTGGAGCGGCCATCAGCGCTTGTGAGCCGGAAGGTGCTTGGCCGCTTGCTCTTTGGGTTCTGAGCAAGGCTGCGCTGAATGACGTCTGCTATGGCGCTGCAATCAGCGTGTGCGAGAAAGCCCGCCGATGGAAGTTTGCCACCCAGCTTCTCCATGGTGCTCGGTCAAACAAACTGAGGCTCGACGCTGTCAGCATCAGCGCGGCAATGAGTGCATGCGAAACCTCTCAAACTTGGCGAGCCCCTTTGGCTTTGCTTTCTTGCATGGCCGAGGGGCACATCCTGCCCAATCAGATCTCTTACAGCTCAGCAGCTTCGGCTGCAGCTTCCAAAGCCCAGCGTTGGCAGACCACGCTCGAATTGATGGATGCGGCAGGGACCGGAGGGAAGCTGGACGTAACCAGCTGCAGCCTTGTCATTGGAATCTGTGAGAGCCATGGCCTGGTCCGCAGGATCCCAGACTTACTTGCGGGAATTGAGTCTGTTCTTACAGCTCTTGAGGATGGGATGCCCTGATCTGCAGGAAAAACCTGGCGAGATCCCCTGTTGAACTCAAGGGCTTGGGCTTTGCACCGGGTTGCCCGAAACCCCCAAGGCTCCCCGAAAAATCGGTCCGTGGTTAGCAATGACAGCCTGAAGGGGAAATAGCTCATCGAGGTTTACAGTTGACAATGTCTACAATTGTCTACGAAGCTCAGGGTAAAATGGCCGGTGCCTCCAATAGCTGCAGCTTGACCCTACAAGGTTGGGAGAGTTGGGGCTGAGAAGCTACACAAGGCACAAGCGCCCCCCGAAACGATTGAAAACAAGAAGTTGCTACAGCTACTTCCGCAGCTACGGCACACCAAGTCTGTGCAGAGATTCGTTCTCGTGCGTGTCCAAATCGACAGCATGTATATGAGTACTGTTCGGATGTGTTTGCTGTGTCTTCAGTGCAGGTCCATGCAGGACGTCCAGGTCTAGAAGTGTGATGTCTGCCTGAAATATTGAATGTTTCCTTTTCTGACCCTTTCCAGGACGAGCTTGGGGCGGGCGGGTGAGGGGGGGAGGGCGACAAGCCGGCAATGGCGGTTCCAGTGCAGCCACCTCCCGCCATGGCGCGCTGCAGCTCGTTAGCGTCAGAGTTTTGCAAGAACCATGCTTTGAGTCTTCCCGGCCGTATCTCTGCACGTTTACATTGGACAATGGCCCTGCAATTCCTTCATGGGATGAGCCGGCTGCTTCTGACACCATCCACGAGAAGCCTTCGGAGCACTATAGTTGTGTGCTCAAAGCAGGCGCAATGGTCACAATCTGCTGGCTTGTTGCGGTTCCTCGCAGACATCAACAGCTTCAATGCTGTGATGCACGCGCAGGGCAAGTGTGATTTGTGGCAGCAGGCAGAGACAACCCTTGGCGGCTTGAGGCCGAAGCGGGTCAAGCCGGATCTCATCACGCTGAACACGCTCATCGCAGCGTTTGCGCGTCAAGACTGGACCAGGGCCATGCGCACGCTCAGCACATGCTTGCAAGGGAAAGCGTCTGGCGATGTGGTGACTTTCAGCACAGCCATCAGCGCTTGTGGTGAAGCCGCCTGCTGGCAGGCTGCCCTGACTTTGTTTTACAGACACGTCGCGCAAAGTGCCGTGGCCTGCAGTGCTGTCATCAAGTCTTTTAGGCCCTTGGGTCAATGGTTGCGTGCTCTCGTTGCCGGCAAAAGCTTCCTGCGTCACAACCGAGTTGTCACCAACGCTTGCATCGGCACATGCCAACGGCGTGGCCTTTGGCAAGAATCGCTGATCTTGCTCGGTGGTATAACGGAACCTGGACCTGTGAGCTGCACCGCTGCTTTAAGTGCCTGTGAAGCAGCATACAAGTGGGAGGTCGGACTGCAACTGCTGTATGGTATGCACAAAGGCCGCATCCTCCCGGATGTAGGTTGTGTCAACGCCGCCATGAGCGGAGCTGTCACCAGCTCGAGATGGGAAGTTGCTGAGCGCTGCCACGAGTGGATGATGGGCACCATCTTAGTGCCAGATTCGCGAAGTGAAGCTGTGAGAATGAATTCGGCTGCCCAGTCTGGGCAATGGGCGCATGCGCTTCGAATGCTGATGTGGCGCAACCATCCCGCTGGTCAGGTCATGTACAATTCTGCACTGTGTGCATGCGAAAAGGGTGGCTGCTGGCGGCATTGCCTGCAGCTTGCACGTGCCGTTCAAGCCTTTCGCTTGGAGCTGGAGGATTGCGGGTGCAATTCTGTTATGGCTGGTTGTGCAGTATCGAGGCCCTGGCTCTGGGATGGGTTGATTCGAACCGTTTTGTCTTTATCTTATTGTTTTGATTTTTTTTATTTTGCCTACTAGGGTCTAGCGGAACTACCTCTGAAACCGAGTTCGCCGTCCGAGGAATTATAGGCTCCGGCAGAGAAATAGGAAGATTGTTCCAGCGCAGGGCGGCGATTCAGACAATGCCAGGCGACATCTGCAAAGTAGTCCTGAGAAAACAATGACAAGCAAATTCATGAAAAGAACTCTAATTTGCAAGTTTATGTTCTTTAGGGTGTACTGGTCAAATCTTTCAGGGCATTCAGGGTGTTTAGAGATTTTAGTTCTTAGGAATTGTAGGGGTTGTTCTCAAAGAGGGTTTGATATGGTTTGGGCTTGAATGCTTGGGGGTTTAAGACAGGTTTTGGTGTGGTATTTAGGGTTGGGCGTAGGCTTATTGCCTTTTATGGCTGTCAGGGGTTATCGTTCAGGCTAGAAAGCTTTGTGTTTAGGTGCCTTGGGGGCTTTGTTAGGGTTTAGTCAGTTAGGGTTTAGTCAGCTTTGTGCTTGATTTTCCCTTGAGTTCGCAGATGTTTGGAGGTTGATTGTTTTCTCTGCCGAGGTTTTAATATTCTCCCGATGACGGCACATCGCACATGCCACCCACAGGAGCACGATCCAAGGCCCAAAGACGACGACAGTTCTGCACTGCACACAGAGCATGCGCACGGGACCACAACGCCGAATCTCGCGAAATTCAAGCCCCCTAGCGAAACAGGCGCGCAAGCGAAGCCGTCCAAGGGCCGAGAGGACGGAACTTACGCCTCTGGCATGCCTTTTTCGCCACACCGAGCGATTGAGGCATGAATGTGCAAGGGCTTCACAACCCCATGATACCCCATGTGTTTACTTTGGCCCCTTCCTCACTTCCGCTTGTTATCTCCCTGCGGTGGGGGGTGGGGGGTGAGACGATGCTTTCAACGCATTTCAACGACACGGCAGCGAGTCTGGAGGCAACGATGGGAAAGAAGAGGCGTGATTCAAGGTAGATGACGAAGCGCGGATGGGAGCTTATGGGCCACCTGTGTATCAAAGCAGCTGGGAGAATGTTCCTTCCGCAAGGTGCAGGACTCGCCGTGGTGTCTGACCTCACAATGTTCTGGAGTTCTGAAGGCAAAAGGGGCCCTGCCCTTACATGAGGTGCACGAATGAGACGGACGAGCCAGACGGAGGAACCAGACCGAACGACCCATACTGCAAACCTTTTGCTTGAGTTCGGAAGGGTTATTGAAGGTATTTGACAGTAACGCGGCGCATAAAAGGAGCGATTTGTAGCGGTTGCTGAAGACAGGTGTGACGGGAGTCTGTGCTATGTTGTGCGGCGAGGCAGTGGCAATGGGTGCTGCGCCTTTTTGATGTTTTTGCAGATCTGGGCCTTGGCAGCGCTTGCACCTACACTGTAGCCATCGGCAGCGCGGAGCAAGCCATGCACTGGCGAGTCTTCTGTGGCCTCGCAGGTTCACTGGATGCTGACCGCCTAGGGTTGACTAAGTCGGCAAGCAAGAATTTGCAAGTATAGCGTTCTCACTGATTCTCATTGATGGTGAAGGCAAGTTTGCTGCAGCCTAGTAGGATTTGGGCGGCTATTGGTTGCCAAAATTGCCTTTGCGCTTGGCCCTGACTTTTCTGAAATAGTGTGGAACCCGCCAAGGCATGTAGTGTGAATCCTGTGCTTCCAAGTCTCTCCAGGCCTGGCCCTCCGGGCCCCGGACCTCCAGGCCCTCCGCGGCCAGTGCCAGGCAAGGTTGGAAGAGAGCAGCTTGAGAAATGTTCAAGTGTTTTGGTGGGGGCGGAAGGGGGAGGGGGCGTGTGAAACCTGCAGGCCTGGAAGGCAGTTTGACCTGCGGCGCTGGGACTGGAAACTTCGGCGTGTTCCAGCTTCAGTTCACGTGCTCATGCAGAATAGGAAGAAGACAAGACTACAGCAGAATTTTTAAGATGCTTCGAATCTGCACAAGTCTGAGGCCAACGCCCTCATTCGCGCATGGTCAACCGCTGCCTTCGGCTGCGACGTCAGCTGTGGCCGAGGTTCCCTCTGCATGCTCATTGCAGGTGCAGCTTGATTGTTGAAACTTGCGCTGCAGCTGCAGCCTAATTCATTGAAAGGCATCGCTGCACTCCGCCTTCACGTTGCAAGCTACAGGTGGTCCACCACCCAGTACCCTTGCGTCTGCCTGCTGTGTGCATGCGTGCATGTTTGTATGTGTGTGTGTGTGTGCTTGTGCAACTACATAGTATTTTTGCCACTAGTGACTGCGGTCCATGAAGTTGCTCATCGTGGACGCGGGGGGTAAGGCATGATCTCCGACGAAGTTACGGAGATTGAGGGGAAGCACTGGTTGGCCATCATACCCTCATTCCCACGTGATCCTTTAATCTGGGGTTACCCGCGACGCAGTAACTTTCTGACATCTTGTAGTGACCCTCTGAAATTTGCCCTGCAGTGTGCGCGAGTGCTGGGTGGGTGGCAAAAGAAAAAGGATTCTTTAGAGATAGTTGGATAGTTGGATCGATCTTATCTGCTCTGTGCCTTGGTTTCGAGATTCAAACTTCGGATCGACACACCTCGAGTTTTTCAATGTCCTAGTGACCCGGCATACATATTGAAGTGACCTCAGATTCTTTCGAGTGCCTTAGCACCTCGGCATACATTTAAGTGACTCCGGATGACTTCGAGTGCCTACGAATGCCTTCCAGTGTCTTTGGGTATCGGCCTAAGACCTAAGAATGCAACTCGGCCATAACTTAGTAGCTATTGGGGATGAACCCGTCTTTAACAGGCATTGTGTGGTGTGACTCAATCTGAGATGTGTGTGTGTGTGTGTGTGTGTGTGTGTGTGTGTGTGTGTGTGTGTGTGTGTGTGTGTGTGTGTGTGTGTGTGTGTGGGTGTGTGTCGCTGTCTCTGTCTCTGCCTCTGTGTCTGTGTCTGTGTCTGTGTCTGTGTCTGTGTGTCTGTGTCTGTAACCCTGCGAGGCTGAACTTAAGATGTCTCACTCCAAGCAACGAACGTCATCCTGAACTGGTGTGTCCGTGTCTCTGTGTGTCTGTGTGTCTGTGTGTCTGTGTGTCTGTGTCTCTGTGTGTCTGTGTGTCTGTGTGTCTGTGTGTCTGTGTGTCTGTGTGTCTGTGTGTCTGTGTGTCTGTGTGTCTGTGTGTCTGTGTGTCTGTGTGTCTGTGTGTCTGTGTGTCTGTGTGTCTGTGTGTCTGTGTGTCTGTGTGTCTGTGTGTCTGTGTGTCTGTGTGTCTGTGTCTCTGTGTCTCTGTGTCTCTGCGTCTCTGCGTCTCTGTGTCTCTGTGTCTCTGTGTCCCTGTGTCTCTGTGTCTCTGTGTCTCTGTGTCTGGGTGTGTGGGTCTGTGTCGTGTGTGTGTGTGTGTGTGTGTGTGTGTGTGTGTGTGTGTGTGTGTGTGTGTGTGTGTGTGTGTGTGTGTGTGTGTGTGTGTGTGTGTGTGTGTGTGTGTGTGTGTGTGTGTGTGTGTGTGTGTGTGTGTGTGTGTGTGTGTGTGTGTGTGTGTGTGTGTGTGTGTGTGTGTGTGTGTGTGTGTGTGTGTCTGTGTGTGTGTGTGTGCCTCTGTGTGTGTGTGTGTCTCTGTCTGCGTACGTGCATGCGTGCATGCGTGCGTGTGTGCGTTCGTGCGTGCGTGTGTGTTATGAGTGCTCCATGCAGCATGTGCTGCAGGGGGCCCCCATGGCAAGAATACTGCCAGACTGATGAAGTACAGCAGGCAGTGCTGCCGCGGCGTCCGTGGTGTCCGTAGGGCGTGGCTGGCTTGAGTTGCGACACTTTTATCATACATTCTTACTTTCTATTCATGTTACGAATATATGAATATTATAAACATGACAAGCAGAGGGCCCTTGGAGGATTGACACACATTCACAAACGATGCCAGGGCGGCTGGTGCTCGGCGAGCTTCCCACCCAGAATGATAGTGAGAACGTGCTATGTCAGACTGGGCCAAACAGTCCAGGTGAACTCCCCTGGCCCTGCATTCGTGCGTTCCTGAATTCTTGCTCTCTCAATATGACAAATGTTGAGAATTTGCGCATCCTTCGTGAACTCCGGATTGTGGCTGGAGCAGTCAGTGCCAGATGATTCCAGTTAGGCGCAGCCAGACGAAGCAGAGGGCAGCAACCCAGAAGGCAAGCAGAGATGAAGTGCACCAGTCGAGGGCCGAGGGCAACGGTTTTTCGCCACGCATCCATTTTGCAGGTCGTGGAGAAAGCAGCAGTGTCTTGGACATGTATGTTTCTGGCCATGGGGTACAGAATATGGCGTGGAACCTCTGGCATGTATGTGTCTATGCCCGTGAGGTCCGAACAGAAAGATATCTTCCCTGAAGAGTCTCTCTGAGTCAGGCACCAGCAGTGCTGTGATAGGGCGAGTTCATTCGGGAGAAAGGGCTCCCGAGCATGGCGTAAGGGAGTACCCCAAGACCTCCAGAAAGTATCTCCTTTTTCCCCACCCTCGGTGTGGGGTTGTTAGATTTTAAACTCAACTCTTCTCCTCGCCCGAAACTCTTCTCCTCGCCCGGCCTACTCCTCGCTCATCCCTGGAGTGCCCAACCAAAGTGTCCCTGGAATGCCCAACTGTAGAGAGTCCCTGGAGTGCCCAACCCCAGAGTCCACGGAGTGCCCAACCCAGAGTCTCCCTGGATTGACCAACCTTAGAGTGTCCCGGAGCACCCAGCCCCAGAGTCTAGAGCCTGCTTGGAGTGCCCAACCGCAGAGTGTCCCAGTGCCTCCCTGGAGTGCCCAACCCAGAGTCTCCTGGATTGGATTCCCAGAGTGCCTAGTTTCAGCGTCTCCCTGGAGTGCCCAACCCCAGAGTATTTTTGGAGTGCCCAAGCCCAGAATCTCCCCTGCCCAACCCCAGAGTCTCCCTGGAGTGCCCAACCCCAGAGTATCTCTACCAAGAGAGGGTGGGGACGTTCGAAGTAAATGTGGTTTGCTTTCTTTGCGAAGCCTTGACGAGGTCACGAAGCGACTGATTGAATTTACAAGTCCAAAAGTTCCCTGCTTATCGTTTGGCATTTGTTTTGTCTCATCGCCTTCACACAGCCTGGAATCACTGGCAACATGTGAGGGATTGGTGGCTGGCTTCTGTTGGCATCATCTTAGACATGCAGACATCGCACACCCTCGCGAAACATGAAAGCAAAGATGTTTTCTAAGAATAATTCACCATACCCCAAACCCATATGGGGATGTATGATATAAGTCTAAGGGAGGATGTTCCCATACCCGCAAATTCCTTTCAAGGGTATGCCCAAGGGGCATGTTGAATAGTTCATGATGTTTCAGTTTGCCGCATTCCAAGCGGCCAGACTCTCAGACCAGCGCTTCCCGGATCCTCGTGGTGTATCAGTGCACCCAGCTGCCGACTTGCCGGATCATCTCCGCATCTCGCACCCCAAGGAGACAGTGCTGCCAGCGAAGGAGTTTGTTGCAAGATGTTGCAAACCAGGTCTACACACATGATGCTTGACAGGCCGGCGGTAAGATTGCGGCAGGTTCCAGAGAAGTGTCAACTCGCATGAGGACTTGCAGGTAATTCAGATCTCCATAGGCCCTCCAAGAGTGGCTGAGAGATCAAAATGAAGGTGGTAGCTCGAGGGTATCCTTGAGGGTACACAGTATACTACTTTTCAGCTGCTGTACAGCCGCAGTGGTTTGCAGATTGGTCAGCTGAATGCCATGTAAAAGTGTAAAATTTACGCAGAGCACCGCGCGACGTACCTGTTGTGATGTAGGGGTGCCGGTGCAGGAAATCCTCATCTTATTCTTCTGCTTGTTTACACTGCCCCTTCCACCTGCCATATTGGATTCAAGGTCAGGAGACCTGAAGGTTTCCTTGCTTAGGGATCTGTCCTGGGCGATGGTACAGGGCCAAGGTCTCTCTGCATGGAGCAAGAACCACAATGAAGATCAAGATGTCTCCGAAGAGAGTTGTGCCAATGTACTCAAGCAGCGCTTGCAGAGCAAGCCGCGGATGACACAGTGGCTTCGATGGCTGCTTGGTCCGCTTGCCCTTGCCTTCTACATCTATGGACCAAAGATCACACATGCGCCTGTGCTCTTCACAGTTGTTGTAGCAGTTGCCTTACCTGGGAAGCGAAGTCTTTCCTGTACCAGATTGGGACTGACAGATGCTCAGCCTTATCTTTGGCATGGCCACCTTGCTCGTACCTTGCGCTGGCACTTGCAACGATGGCGGCTCTATGTGAAGTGGACCGCTGACCGTGTGGACCAGGATCTGCACGGCGTCTGGCGCCGTGTGCTCCCACTCTCACCGCGACAGGCCCTTGCGCGGGCCGTCCATGGAGAGAGTCGCAGCCTGCTTGGCTATCATACCGCGGCATCTGCTGGCTTCCTGCTTCCACCGGAGGTGGTTGCTTGCAGCTATCTCCCTGAACCCGGCCTTCGAGCCCATACTGTCCGGCTCTTGAAAGAACAGTGGGAAAGCGAAGCCCGGCAGTTGGCGCCCATCCCTGAACTGAGCGAAAGAAGGAAAGGCACCTGGAAGAGCCTTGCATGCATTGCCCTCGGTGTCTGGGAATAGAAAGCACGTGCCTACATCTCCACGTGCAAAGATTGTGCCTGCACAGCGGCTTGGGTAGCTATGCAGCCGCATCTCCTCTTGTAAGTACTGGAACCGGTAGGGGCATGCGGCAACGCGTCTGGTAAGCCGAAGCAATGCCTTCACAAGGACCTTAATTCGATCATGCAACAGACAAGCTTGACGTCTGTTCGCCTCAGTTCGCCAAATGTATCCAAATGTTTAAGCATACGTGCCAATGCTTTGTAGAGTGCTGTCCAGGCCAATCGTTGATGGCCTGCTGGCAGCTGACAGAAGCATCAATTTTTGTTCTGCCAACAAGGATTTCACCCTGCACTGACAACGTATTGCCACACTTTTTGCTTACTCTTCTGTGTTGCTGCATGGCCGGAAGGCCATGCGGCCCTCTGCCGAGAAACTGTGGATTAAAGACCGCAGCGAAGAGAAACCAGGCTTGATGGGACGTGGTGGCAGCGAGCAATGGTGATGCAGATGTATGCAAATCCTCCAACCGACTGGATCGTGCTCGTGTGTTCGCAGCTTGGTCTGGGTTCAACGGTAGCAGCAAATCATGCTGGCACATCCCATTCAGCGGTTGCATGTGCCGGCAGCCAGGCCCAATCCCGCAAGTTCTGGGGCAAACTTTGTGCAGGTCATCCTGTTCTCGATAGGTTTGCAGCGGCAGGATCTCTTTTTCGGATCCGAGGCAGGACAAGCTGTACTAGCATGCGCTAGCATTGGAGAAAGCTGCCTTCCGAGTTGATGCGAGGAAAGGGGCCTGCTAGCTCGCTCCTGGGACCCTTGTGTTCGTTTCCAGTTTGAACTTCCGGTTTGTGGAACGCACCATCTGCTGAGGCACAGTTGCCAGCACAAAGTCTGGTGCGCAATCGCCAGCCGCTCCTTTTACGTGGAGGCCTTAGTTGGACGGTTCCTCGAGGTTTTCCCACGAGCCCCGGCCGACTCCGAACTTGCAACTTTTTGATCTTGAACGAGGGGGGGGGGAATCTTTTCGAGGCCACATGGAAGAGCAGCGGTGCCAGGCAACCGTCTGCTCCAAGTCAATGTGCTCATTTCTCAAAAGTATGGTCCCCCTTCGGGGTACCCTAAATATATTAGGGGCCGCCTTATAATCAGGATTAGGGGCCGCCTTATAATCAGGACCCCAAAAGGAACCATAATTTGGAGCCCACATGCAGTGGGCAGCGGTTGCCGTGAGTGTGATGGCCTGTGTGGCTTTCGCTTTTCAGGTTTGCAGAGCCAGGCGCCAGCATCTCGATCTCCACGCATCTCCACAGATCAGCGAGGGCCTCCGAGTCGCCCTTCGGAGAACTGGGACCAAGGACGGAGGCGACTTTCAACCTGGCGCATTGCACTGAGATACGCAGACCTCAGATAGCATGGAAGTGTGGGCATCCATGGAGCATCCATGGGGCATCCATGCCCTAGGAGTGGCCAGCACAGGATGAGAGTTGGCCAGGGCCATTGTGCATCGTCAGGGCTTCCCGTCAGGGCTCATTGTCAGCTTGGCCATGCCTAGTCAGGCAAATACAAAGGCAAAACGTTCGCCGAGATTTATGCGGAGGCTCGTCCCAGTGAGCAGATGCTTGACCTCAAACCTTGTCAACTTCAGGACCCACAGTACTGCAAGTGGGCGTGCGACATCGCGCTGCGCGTGGCTCATGACCTGAAAGTGCAAATGGAGGCTAGCTAGCCAAGTCAAAATCTGGCTCAGGACGGGAGAGAACACCAATGACTCGCTCAAAGTCTTTGCTGCTTTCGTGCAGCACAGGCCAAACCAGCTGAAGACGTGGTTTAGAGTCTAGAGTTTTCGAGCGGTGGCATGGAGCAGCCGTAGCTGCTGCCAGGTGGCTCCTGGCCGTTCGTGATTTGTGCCGTCAAGCCCGGCCGAATAGCTTGAGAAGTCAGCGCTTGGTCGATGCCCCAGTGAAGCAAGACCTCCTTGAAGTCGGTATTTGGCCATGGGCAGGCTGTCACTGGTCAGCCAGATGAGATTACGTGGAGACCTAAACAGCCTGAATGCCATGATGATTCCATGGTTTCCCTACTGCCCCCCCCCCCCCCCTTATACTACCCCCCTTAATTTCCCCCCCTTTAACAACCTTAAAGTAGGCTTAATTGTCCCTAAATAGATTTAATTATGGGGCAACCCAGGGGGGGTGGGGGGTAGAAGAGAAGGGGGGTAGTGGGGGAACCCATGATGTGCATGGAGCCGTGGTTCGAGCAGCTTATCGAGTGAGGCGTGAGCTGCTCGAGGGTTTCATCCGCATCCTGGGTGGTGAGGCGTTGGCATCGAGTTCTTGTCAGTCTGAAGTGTGGACTGCATGTAGTGTCTCTTCGACGCATGGCCTGCAGGTAGTTTCTCAAGTTCGCGCCTGAGATACCATACTGAGGAGAGGTGGCCAGCGCCTGGTGACCGGAATGAGCTTCTTCAGGTCTCCCCCGGTTCGAAACCGCCAGCGACTGGGGTGGCTTCCAGCTCAAGTGGATGTGACTTGATGAGTGGCTGTGAAGCGAGAAAGATGCTCATGCAACCATGCCCTTCAAGCATTGGCAGCCAGACCGATTGGCAAGGTGGTTGCGGGTTCTACGCTGTATGGCGGAAAGCCTGTGCAAGAAAGCTCGAAGCTGGAGAAGGCTGAAGCTGGATCGTCCGTGGAATGCTGCTGCCTCTGATGCCTCTGATGCCACTTGGACAGCTCGGGATAGGCAGCCGCTGCCGGAGTACCTGTCATGACCATGGAGGATCTTCGGCGTTTGGCTACCCAGGCCCAGCGGTTGCCTTCTCTCTTGTGCTCTTGCACTGCACTTGCGCTGTGGCTCTGGTTGTCTGAGGTTCCGGCCAATGAGAGCAAGTCGTAGGACTGCTGCCGAAAAAGAAGTGCGCACCTCTCACCTCGTCTCGGCGGCAAGCGACAAGCAGCCGCATGATGCCGCATGATGCCGCACGCATGTTTTCAATCCGTGAACTTAAACAGTGGCTGCCTCATCTTCAGGTTTTTGCAACCCAACATAGGTGAAGTCTGACATAACTCGCACAATGACGAAGGAGTATCCATCTGTGTAGAACCCAGTCAGATTAGTGTCAATCTTCGGTGCAGAGCTTGAAAGCGGTTCGACCTCGTCCCAATGGAGCTTGCAGCGCGCAGGCATGCAAGCCGAGGCGAATCAAGTGCTGCCATCTGCGATCTTTTCTCATCCTTTGTCGTTTGCATGCCGTGAGTAGGAGAGCTCCTCTGATAGTGATGTTGACTCCGCCTCGCCCTTACTGTGCAGCTTCAGCAAATGCATTTGTTTCAGCTGCGGGGGTTGCCATGTGTTCTGCACCGGAGCCTCCCCCCAGCAGAAGCGTTCTGTCAGTGAGGTCGAAAACTTTGCGGGATCTTCGAAGCCAGCACGACCGTTGGCCAAAGTTGCCTCAGGCTCAAGAGAGGTGCAAATGCAGAAGGCGAGGTCATTCCAGAGCTTTTTTTCTGAGATCTTCCGAGGTAGCACAGCAACCGCCGAGCAGCGGCAGCAGCAGCAGCAGCGACAGCAGTGCAGGGGTGGAGCGGGCCATTGCCGAGGCGCAGCCGACCAAAGTATGGTACCGCACAGCCCGACAAGATGATGCCAGGCGTCTCCTGACATAAGGGTTGTTCCTCGCAATGGGGAGCCACCAGCAGAGGAGAAGGGATGCAGTTTGCAGTTTTGGAGATCACTGTCGCCACTACACAAGCCGTGACAGGATTCCTCCGACAGCTCCAGCGACAGCATCTCTCAGGAATGGGTCTGGTCTAATGGTCATATGGCAGGGGATCCTTCAGCTTGTTGGCCCCCTTGCCTGTTGCATCTCATAGCGGTAGCAAGTTGCGACAAGCACCCGCGAGCGCCAAACGGCAATTGAAAGGCAAACAGCCGAGCTCGAACAGCTCAATCCCCTGTGGCGTCCAAGGCCAGAAGTGTGTTTGCGGCTAGCTGTTGAAGCAGAGGTTGATGAAGCAAAGTGATCAGGCAAGCAGCCCAGCAAGAACTGCATGCTCCCCCCTGTCGCCTCACAGAGTGGAGGCTAGGAATCGGCTCGTGTTCCGAACATTTTCCCAGTTTAGGGTTTGGGTTTAACATGGGCGGGATGGGAGTGAGCTGGCCAGGCAGAAAGGCCAAGCGAGCTTGACAAGGAGATGGCAGGCCTGCAGTGTCTGCTCCCTCATTGGATCAGCGAAGAAAGCGGCACTCTTAGCGCCAGCGCGCAGGCCCAACATCCGCATCAGAAGAGGTCCTCGACTCAGGAATGTCCAGTGTGTTGCACAAAGTGATGGCACGGACGCGGGCTTAAGGTGGAAACAGGAGTGCTATCACAAAAGCTTGAAGCACCACAAGGCCTGCATGTCTTTTAAGAGGACATCGCTTAGCAACCGACCGATGACTCCCAGGCGAAGCAAAGGAAGAGGCGGGGGAAGCTTTGTGCGCTTCAGGACATGAGACTACATGCTGAGCTGGGCTTTTTGGAAGGCGGCTGTTTCCCACGCGCCAAGCGAGCCGGCCCAAGAGAGAAGGCCACTGCAAGATTCTGCATAAGAGGACAAGACGCAATCAAGCTCCTGACTTCACGAGGCAGCCGGTAGAAGCGGAGAATCCCACTGCCCGCAACGCTTCGCCGGAAGAACCGGAACCAAACCTTGAGGTGGTGGCCATGAAGGCAATGTGAGGGTGTTGATTAGCAAAGGCTGAACTCGTTTTGATCTGTTGACGCCTAAAGGATCTCCAACCCGTGACTGCGGAGGACGTGGCGAGGAGCTCCATGTTGCAGAGCCTGGGTTGGGGGTAACGAGGGCTAGAGGATTTAAGGGGCAGTGAAGCTGACGTGACTGACAGACGCAGGCGGGAAAGAGAGCAGCGACTGCAGACGCGGCGCCGCTGACCAAGCCGAGGGAGAGTGCAACCCACAGATAAAGGAAAAGGTGAACAAAAAGGAACCGAACGGATGGCTTGAGAAGAAGCCAGGCCTAGAAACAGCTTTTTGGACTTCACTGTCTGGATCTTGGCTAGGTGGCGAGAAAGCGTTGACAACTTTCTGATATGCCTCCCTGACATGCGACCGCACTCTTCGTGCACCTGAGGAGCATGGAAGACAAAGATAAGCTTCAAAAGTTGCTCCAAGCTGCAGTCCAAGGGTTCGTTTGCCATGCTGTCAGACCCCCTTCGCCAGCTTCATTGCCTCTCCAGCTTCATTGCCTCTGCCATTCAGGTCATTGAGGACTTCAAAGGCCAACTTCGTCGAACCAATGCTGAAGAAGTTGAACTGCAGATGGTCCTGGACAGCAAGGCGCTGTGCCCAAAGCTTTGGCGTTGCTCAGGTCCTTTGAGTCAGAATTCATTTCGCAGCATCACAAAAAGCTCCGGGAACTCCCCAACATTATTGTGATTGCAGCCGCGTGCAGCCACATCGGCTCAAGAAACATGCGTAGATCACGTGGATCTGAGCCGGCCGGTCGCTGCTCTTCATCTTGAGGTCCGATTGACACATACTCAGCAAAAGCAGAAGCCATAGCAGTGGTGTGTCTCAGAGGCCTCCGCGCAGCTGCTGCGACGCTATGCAGGCCGCCCCGGTGCAGCTCAACAGTGCTCAAACCCGGATTCAGTGCGAGGCACCCTTGGAGGCACCCTTGTTGCCGAAGCCCCGCAAGCAGACGCTGCGGGCGCGGATCTATGACGTTCTCGAGGGGAAGGCCCCTTTCCGGGAACCAGCTGGATTGCCAGGTAAGTATGTGAACAAAACACGAACGAACCATCTCGTATGCTCTGCCCAGGGCTCCCTTGGATCATTCTACACCTTGGCGCTAACCACAGTCATCCTGGTGAACATTGCATCCTTCATGCTGTCCACGGAGCCAAGCATGACTGAGCATCAGCCGCTGTCGAGCCCTTACCCCTTACTTCACACACAAAGTCTGAGGATGGGGTCCGATGTCCCCAAATTTCAGGTTTGACAAGATCGAAACGGTGACGGTGTGCATCTTCACTGTGGAATACGCCCAGACCTCTCTTTGGCTGCCTTGGCCAGTTCGCCTTTTGTATTCAGCCTTGCGTGGTTTTGAGGTTCTACGATTCAGCACCCAAGCGGGGTCATGCCTGACCCGCATCAAGTGGGTCGTGCCATCCTGAGACCTGAAACTCGGGCGGGGGGGATCTCGGGAAGCTGGACATTGGTGTGCTCAATGTTTCGTGGACAACGGTCCGGAATGACGCGCCAAACCAGGAGAGAGCAGTCCTGCTCAAGAAGCGAACACCATCAAAGCATCTCAAAGCGTTTCAAATCCAAGACGAGCACTGGACACAACGAGCCGGAACTCAGAGCAACCAAAGCAGGAAGCTGGACGAGCAAGCCCGCATTTCAGCGAAGGGCCATGCAGAAGCGGAAGGACATTGGAAGGTAGGGCTGGTGAGATGTCTACGCTGTTTGTGATCGTATGTCGATCTAGTCGCTAGCCGCGAGCCCATTCTGGACGTTGTTGTTGGCTGGCTCGGAGTTCCGTTGGAGGTTCGCTTCCTGCGGCTTCCACTCTCGTACTGGCATGCGCATGTTGCAAGAATATCCGCTGGACTCAGTTTACCAACTTTTTCTCCATCGCGGACCTGGTCTCAATCATGCCGTTCTATGCAAGGGGCTCAGTGGAAGGAGTAGCTTGCGGAGACCAGACCTGGCACTGAAAGCATGCGATCATGCGCGATACCTGCTCAATACATGCCAGACAAGGCTGACCTCTTGATCCCCGGAGAACAAAAGTATTTGACGACGCAGTGGGTTCGAGTTGCTGGCAGCCCAGTCCCAGCTGTGCAGCGGAGCACGAGATCACAACATACTGGCACCCTCCCGGTAATGTGAAAACTCCCAGGTCCTAGGTGCATAGACGAGCTTGGAGTTTGGGTGCTGGGAAGTCCTGGGAAGTCTTGGGTCTTTGGGGTAATGGCAGACATTGTCGAGCCTTGTGCAAGTATTCTTGCAGGTGCGTCTTCTGCGCCTTCTGCCGCCGTTGCACGCAGCTCAGAAGATGCAAGCAAAAACTGCGGCAAGTGCCTTAGTGGAAACGTTCTGCTGAAATGGTGCTCTTAGCGCCTCACCACACCACCCCTACCACACAACGCATCCCTGATGGTTTGACTTCTTCGATAATCCGCGGAAGGCCATACGACGTTATTTGGCAGAAGAGCTACAAGCTGTTGATGGCGAGCGGCTTCGCAGGCCTCACAGTCTGGGCTGCCAGACTGCAAAAATTACTGCATTCGCATCGTGCCCCGCTCGTCGCTGTGCACTCAGTGCTTGCGCCACTTTGGCACATTACTCGGCGTTCTGCTGGGATCTGTTGGCTTTTCCGTTGCTGGTGTGGTGGCTGCTATTGAACCCAGCTTGCCGCTTTCTACGGGCTGCTGAGTGGCTGCTGCCTGCGCTTTCTGTCTTATGCGGCGTAACCCCCCCCCCACTCCCCAAACACCCCCAAACCTGCAAACCCGATGTGTTGGCTTTTGGTTTCCCACCTGCTCGCCACACCAAAGCCCGGCCAAAGCAAAAAGCCATGCCCAGCTCGCAGCCACTCCTTGAACGAACCGAATCACAGAAGCTTCAGGCTTCAGGGTGTGAGCTATTGAGTTCGGGGGGAAGATCGTTTCAAGAGCCCAGCACACCAACCTAGTCGAAGGGTTGACAACTGAACCCTTGGACCGAATCATGCCGGAACCAGTTGGGGGTGTACGACAATAACGGGGACCCAATATAGACCCCCCAAATGGTACTGTAGGGTTCCCTTACAATAAGGACCGCAAGAAGGTACGCCTCTCCCTTTGGATGTGGCCTGGTGCACCTGAAAACTCTTTGAATGAGGTCTTCTGTTGTGAGTTGAGTTGTGTACTATGTGCGATGGCGCCTCCATTTCACAGGAACATCTGGATTCCTCCTCCCCACGCACTGCAGAATGCCCGTGCTAAGGGGTCTGGAAACCATCGGAACTAACATCTCCAGGGTCTACACACGCCTCCGGGTCACCCGCCTTGTCGGAGGGATAAGCAAAAGCTCGTAAATACTGTGGTTATCTAGGGCTTCTGAAGCCGAGCACGAGTTCGAGCATGGGTCCCGACATCTGGAACCTCTGTCGGAGCCGTCGTAAATGCCGTGGGTCGTGGGTCCGGACATCTGACAGATGAAGTCATTGCAAGTGGCAAGGTTCAGGATTAAGGGGCTGTTTGTGATCAGCCTAGCTGGGAGACCATACATCCAGCCCAAGGTTGTCAATCTCTGCTGGGTGTGCCTCCTGCCTTGAGAGTGTTTCGTGTGGAGCAGATAAGGTCCTCTGCGCGGCATTGTATTACTGGGTTGAGCAAGACAACCCCGACATGATGTACTGTCCAGTCCGGTTCTGAGTGCAGTGAGGTTGCTTATTGGGTTCAAAGGCTGGTCGTTTGGCCTAGTCTGTCCTGGTCCAGGACGATGCTGACAAGAAAGAGGGCATGTGTTGGAATCGCTTTCATTCCATCCCTGCGGCTATGCCAGCTATCAGCAAAAAGGTGTCTGCAGCGCTCAAAGAGTCGCACAAACATCAGACTGAAATCGCGCTTATCTCGAAGGTATTATTCGCTTCTGAACTTCTTTGGGGAGTTCCCGCTGGCTGACAAGCATTCGCTGGGTGGGCGATTTGTGGGCGGCTTCATTCAGGTCCACTTCTCGCCAGCACTTGCATATCTTGATTCGGATTCTCTGAGCCACCAGGTCATGGGAGCAGCCGTGATGGCAATTCCAGCTGGAGCACTTGGAAATGCATTTTCTGAAGTTGTTGAGAAAGAGCTTGCGAAGGAGGAGGACGCTGTGCGTCCATCGCTTCTCAACGATTTGTTCAACTGCCTGCGGCTCGGAAGGAGGAATCAGGCGAAGCCGATGGCAATGCCACGGGTCAACGTGGCAAGGCTGTTTCCACTGCTGGCTTGCAGCCTTTCTGTCGATGCCTAGTTCTTTCTGATTGGTCAGGCAGAAATCATCCGTTGCCTGGATGGCGAGCGAGAGGCGCTGTACACAAGACGAATCATGCTGCTGTGCACATGTGGCCGCCGGTCTCGGACAGGTCCGCGTCTACCAGATAGCTGACTTGTCAGTTGATTTGGCAGATCTGTGGTTCTCACTGCTGGCAGGGTCCTTGAATCAAATGGGTGCCACAGTACACCAGTACAGATGCAGAGAAGTCCCAGATCTGCACCTCCTGAGTGCACAAGGCATTTCTGGTAGCGACGTCATCCGCTCACTTCATACTAGGTGCGCTCGCTCTGGAAACGCTAGCTTTCACGCGCCTTCAGCTGGATTTAGTACCACCATGCTGCTTGCGAAGGGACTGTTCGCAACTTGCCGATGAAACTGGAGGAGTCCCGACCTTTCTGCTTGGTTCTCCTGAGCTTCTTTGCTTGGCGACACAGTACCTGGTTATCTTTTCAGGTTGTTCTTCCTCTTGTATGCCCTCGACATCCTAGCCACCGTGTTTTTTTGCGTAGCGAGCCCAGTGCTCGAGCAGACTGTAGCACGCCCTCTGCCAAGACCATGCAGCCCAAATGAGTGCTGACCAGCTGTATGCTGAGGGGGAGTATCTGTTCAGGACGACAACTCCCTGGGGTGATCTCATCTTTCCACATCAACCAGACGCTTGCTTGCCTGATGGCAGGATTTGTTTTGCCAGAGCGCCTGCCCGTTACGTGATGAGTGGCTTCGGCCTTGTCGATGGCTTGCCGGTTCCTTAGCACAGCCTGTTTGAACCAGGGAGCCCACGCGAGACACCACATGCGACTTTGCTGAGGAGCGCAGTGCTGCCAGCAATCAGCTATGCTTGCACCTTAGCAGACGCGGCCCACAGCGCAAACAGACGAATTGCTGGCGTGAGAGAATCCTGTTCATGTTCCAGAGGTCTACAGCCGACCCTTGTTTCGTGCTTTCACGACTCTTCGGGTTCTTAAGCTGGACCGCCACATGCATGACATGCCGTTTCCAGGCAAATGTATTGAGGCCATGCCTGCTGTCAGGAGCGCTATATTGGGGCCTTTGGCACCTTCAAGAGCATCCTGTACCAAAGCAGGCTTGTGGGTTGCACGTCTTCGTTCACCCAAGAAGAGCAAAGCGGATGCAAGTTGTAAGCAGGGCCGTCCTCTTCGTGACGGGGGGTGCTGCTGCAGTTCTCTGGGTGCGGACTGTGGAGTGGGAGCAGTCCAAGAGCTCGGTGACGCAACGAGTTTTTCTGGCAGGTCATCTTCAGCACCTTGATGTACTATGCAGAGCGGTACAATCCAGATCCTGAAATGGCCGGCATCTGATACATGCCACGTCATAGCATGCGTGGCACCAAAGAACCACAGAAGATGCCGACAGCCATTGTGGCATCACTGGAGATGCTCCAGGCTGAGCACTATTCAAGTGTGGCCACTTCCATGCGACTCTCTCAGAGTTGTGGCGACGCCTGCTCCGCTGCATGCCAAACGCTTGCCCTTCTATGTCATCTGATATAACTTACATCTGCTTGCCTCAGCAAGGTGGGTGACGCTGCTGAACCTTTCAGGGGAAGCACCGCTTTGCGAGTACACGACGGTCTCTGCCCCAACATCACTCTCGCCTGCCATGCTGTCATGGAGCAGCTGCTCAGGTTGGGAAGTTCATCTCTGCACTCATGGGTGCCCCGGCAGAAGCTAGACAAGAGTAGCAGCTAGACTCAGCTAGACATGCGTGCGGCATGCGTGCCAGCAGCAGGACTGATTGGCGTCGGTTTCGTCACCATCCCAATGGGACTGCTCGGTTCTGGCTTTCAGGATTTCCTGGAGAAGGACCCTACGTGTCGCCTTTGCAACACGTTCGCATTAGTTATGACTGATCCGTCAGGATGACGAGGATGAGGCCCCCGCTGAACCACAAGGTGCATTCCACAAAAAACAAGCTTGTCGGTAGCAGGCTTCACGAGTACCAAGGAGTGAAGCAGCAACCTGAAGAGACTTCCTTTCGTGCAGAGCTCGGGAGAAATGTGTTCAAGCCGCGGTGTAGCATCCTGTGTGGTCTCCAGGCCAGCTGGTGCACAAGTTCTTGCAAGGTTCTGCTTCCAATCAGGCCAGGAAAGGTGCATACTGTTTAGATCCATGTGGAATTGGGATTCCGCCTCACTATATGATTGGAAGGTGGAAGATTTAAACCCTTGGGAAGCTCGTGCCGTTTACTTTGAGCTGTGCATCTTCTTTGGCATTTTCGTGCCTCGGCCGCAACATGTACAAGTGAGCTATCAGGGTGACCACAGGCTGAGAGTGCGTAAGGTTACAGTGCTCGCCGCCATCATGGAGCGCCGTGCAAGCAGGGGTTCAGCTTCGTGTTTCAAGCAGGGGTTCAGCTTCGTGTTTCTGTTTCTGTTTCAGGTTCTTGCAAGATCAGTAAGGAACTCAGCAACGAACTCCTTTATGCATGCTCAACCAGAACGCGTGATGTCCGCTGTGTGCGCGATTCTCGACGCTCGACATCGGCCCATCGGCCGTAAGGCCTTACGGCCCTACGTTTAAAAGGTATTCTTCAGTTACGCGCGTGTTTCGGGACCCGCTGTTGTCAACCTCAAGCTCTAACTCCCTACGTAACTGCAACACCGCTGGCACCACAAGCTGACCCAAGCATAGTCTTGTAGTTTGTCCACCAAAGCTTTCCCCGGAGTGCGTGGCTAGGCGGGTGGCAAAAATCTTTCGGTACTCTGAATCAGTTCTCTGGTCGATTTCTTATTGCAGAAGGAGTGTGGAGGCTGTTTTGGTACCGAATCCTTGCCTGCAGCATGAGGGGCGTGAGAACCGAAGCCTGCTGCCGATGCTCATGATGCTTAGCTAGGCTACGCATAGGTTTCCCATCTGGCCCTACATCGTCTTCAGCACGCTGGGGTGGCCATGGAGGGAGCTGTACATCTTTCCATGCCTTGTCCTACGCGGGCCCGTGACTTGAAACTCAGAATAACTCAGCTATTGGTTTTGTCAATGCATCGTTACAACTGCAGGTTGCGAGTCCTCCCCATTCCTCCCCTCCACCACACACGTCCCTTTGGTAGGAGACAGTGGAGGGCTTTGCGCCGCCCGGATCCCTGAACCGGGATGCCTGGTGCCCAAGCAGTTGGACTGATCTGCACGAGTTGAGGGAACGTTAGTTACTCAAAGCACCACGAAGCGCCCCGAAAGGCATTGAACTTCATTGAGATAACTGCCACCCTCCTTTTCACAGTGGAGTACGGGCTGCGCTATTACACTGCGCCGGAGGCTGGCTTGTGCTCGCGCAGACTTCAGTCGCATCCCATACCCTTGATTTGCCACATTCATGTTGAGGCTACCTACTGGGCAGAGAAGGGTTACGTCCGAACCTCGATGGGCCAATCGAAGTACAGGGTGCCACAGTCTTTCTTGGGGCGTGCTGGCAGGTGAGCGACAATGCTGCCAGATTCGGGTTTGCGATGTCGCTCCCCGCGCTGATAGATCTGACAGCGATTGTGGGAAGCCCAAGCGACTCAGACAGTTGAGCCGGAGCTCTATGAGTCTCCATGTTCGCACATGCCATGCAGGCTCCTTACTATCTTGCTTTGTGCGGGTCTTCTGTGGCAGACCGCTATGACGGTGAACTTCGAGACCTGTCAGCGATTGCACGGCTTCACCCTGTTCCATGTGTGCTGTGCCAATTGGAGCCAGTTGAGGAATGTTGCGTATATTCAGACTGTCCTGAACTCAAGCCTCAGTAGATCTTGAGCGCGTTCTTGCACCTGATGGACCTTTTCCTCAGGTTAACGCTGGACAAGTACATCCCTTCAGTGCTGGAACCCCAGCTGGCCTGCGATGAGTGTCGGATTTCGGGTGCACCTTGTCTGGATGTCATCATTGTGCTCCAGCCGGTGCTGTGACAGCTGTGCCCCGGCTTCTCATTGATCATACGCATCCTAGCTGAGGTCCCTTATTGGTCGAGTCTTCTATAAGAATGCCAAGGACAGCATCAGCTTGAAATGCTTGGGGCACGACGTGAAATCTGCCAGTCGTGTGAAGGAGTTTCAGATGGCAGCCTACGCTGCTGCATCGTGGCAGCCTCGGCGATAGACTTGCAACTGCGAAGTGGATGGCGCATGTACAGGGTAATCATGTGATATCATGTGACAAGGCTTTGGCTGATATTCTCCGCGCTTATGTGGCTCACTGAGCGGCACGACCCGACGCAGGCAAAGTGTGGCACGACAGGAGTGACAAACCAGCTCAAGTCAAGACAGGAGAGTGCTGCCAGGTGGACGATCTGACAATGTCACAGCGCTACGGCAGCATGCCAGAAGCAATGCAGGGCCCTCGTGGGCCGTACAATTCTCGTGGCACACAGAACTAACAGAACTCAAGCACATCTTCAGAGTTCCTAGGCCATACACGCTGGTTCACCTCACAGGCGCTTTTCTGGTTTACTTGAGACTATGATAAGTCGCATGTGAATGCATCGCAACAACTGCCAGGGGACTATCCCCTCATAGATTACGACTTCCCCGCCAAGTGCGTTTTGTTTGTTGCCCTGCTCTTTGCAGTCGGGGCCAGTTCCCTAGCATCTGAGATCTTAAGATCGAGCAGTCTCATCATTGGCGCCTGGGTAGCTTTGAGGTCGTAGCTGTTCCGACCGGCCTGCTTGCTTCAGGCTTTTCACAGGACATCCCGGACAAGAGCCTCTAGACGTCAGCATGAACACGCGCCACCTTGCAGGAGCTCACGAAGTACCGCCAGGAACAAAGGCGGCTGAGAGAAGAGGCTTCTTCCGCCATCGAGAAGGCCGGGGTCTCCATGAATTGTACACTTGAGGCAGGCAGCACGCAGTGACATTGGGCAGTCGTTGGTCTGCAAGTGCTCTGCTTGTGTCAAGTTGAGCATCCGTCATGCTGCACTACTCTTGGCGTTGCGCAACGTTAAAACATGTTTAAACGGAGTGCACTTAAACAATAGAAACATCTCCCACAAAGATTTATTCATCGCGAAGACCACCATGTTGCCCCTCGCGTGACCTCAAACTGGAGAAGACGCCAGAAAACGGTTGCGGAGAAGAACGCTCGGGCATAAAAGAGAAAACAGTTGTTTGCTTAGTTGGCACTGGAGTGGGCCAAGCAGCAATTAGACCTGTTGCCTCCCTAGCCCATTTCATCAGCAATCGAAACCTGGCGATGCCGAAGCCCCCTTGTTATGACTGCCTTTGTTTCTTTGTTTTGAGGTTGATGGCCAACCTTCTGCTACTTCAACTGCAGCGTTTCAATCATTGCCTACTGTAGCCTCCCGGAGGGATGCCCTGCAGTGTGGCTAGTATGCTAAAGAACACGAGCACGGCAGATGACACCTCACATGTGAACCCTGACAGCATTGCTTACCCAAAGGATTGCTCCCGTGTCTTACTGCGATCCATTGCCCTTCCGTGCGGTAGAACCGATGCAGAACAGACAGAAGTTGGGGAGCTGCATCTTTGGAGCGCGCTTCAGCGCAACATGACCGCGCAATCTTTGCAAGCTCCAGGCGCTACGAACATACATTCGAAGACGTCGCCTTCGAAAGGCCGCAAAACAGATCCAGGCTCGGGGCAGAGCCTTGTTGGAGCGATTGCTCATCACACCCTCCTGCGCTCCTCGAGAAGCCTGCAAGGCGCAGCAATCCGTGTTGAAAGAGCTCCGAGGCAAAGTTTCCAAGGAGCATCGCACGTCCGTTTCTGCCATCGGGTTTGTGCCCAAGTGCCCCCAAAAGGACAACCCCTACAAGCTGAGCATGGTCCGGTTCCTTGAGCAAAAGACGACATTCGGCCGGGTGTTCAAGAAGGCACTTAAATGGTTGATTGCCTGTCCCTCCGGCTAGCGCATTGCGCGTCCTTCCATCACTCTAGGTGATGCTCCTACTCATTATTTTGAACGTTCTGGCTGTGATTGGCGAGAGCATGAACTGGGTGAAGAAGGCCATGCACCATCAAGAAAGGTAGCTTGCATCTGAGTGGTTCTGTCCATGCACGTTCCCTGCTGGGAGGCAATAGGGAGCAATGCCCTCAATGCTTTCGAGCTCGTCAGTGTGCTTGCATTCACCTTCGAGTACTCAGCCAACGTGTGGAGCGCACCGGCCAACAGGAGGCACCCTCTGTTGTCATTATTATTATTGTTATTGTTATTCTGATTCTTCTTCTTTATTATAACATCTTTCTTTATCATTTGATATAATATGATATTATAATATATTATGTTGTATTGTATTATATTATATCATCTTATATTATTATATTTTTTATTTTATATCATTTTAGATTATTTCGTTTTATATGATTATATATTATACTACATTACATTATATATTATATGATATATGCATGTATATATATACACATATACATATATACATATATACATATATACATATATACATATATACATATATACATATATACATATATACATGCATACATACATACATACATATCTGTATATATATATATATACATATATATATACATATATATTTGTCATGTGAGCTAAGAAGCCCACACCTGCTGACCTGCTCGGTTCCGACGTAGTTAGGCAGAAGCTTGGGTCAATCGCTGCAAGACTAAGTCAGCTCTCGCCAGTTCGCGATAATTTGATCTGTTCTACGCACGGTATGTGTCAAAAGTCCGTGCTGTTTCATGCAGGGGCAGGGGCTCTGGATACGTACTTGCATGCGGCCAACTGGCCCAGGCATTGTCGAACGGCGTATCCCAAGCAGTAGTCGTTAGGGCGTGCGGCCTCATCCTGTACGATATCTCACAGGCTGCACCCACACCCAAAGCCAAAGCCCTGCATCAAATTTGTCCGTTTCGGGGCTCTCCTGGACACTATGCCCATCTCATTTCGTAAAAGTGTATCGGCGCATCGGTCCGGAGCTTTCACGATGCTGCACACGATCAACTGGAGCGGCAGGCCATATCGCGTAGGGGCACTCTTCCGCTTCTAGACAAATTCTTCAGATACCGCCTGCGGTCGCAGCATGCACACCGTCAGCGTAAATCGGATGTCGACTGTCCACCTCCCATGTTGCCCATCTCGGCAGCAGAGAAAACGAGATCGCCCTCTCGGGTTACAGTCGCTTCCCAGGGCCTTGCAGGGTGGGCCGAACTCTTTGTCACCTCACATCGGGTTCATGTTAAGAAGTTTATCACTGATGAGTCCTGCGCCCGTAGGGCATTGGACTCGGTGGATTGTGCTGGGAGAACTCCACACAGCTTGCGGTCGCTGCACGCGCGCCCTTTGTCCATGTCCATTTCGACCAACGATGCGTGAATGAGCAATTCCTCAACATGCGATGGTACTGTCCGCAAAGATCCGCGCACAAGCACGCCCGATACCGGGGTAGAAAAGGCAAAATGCGCATCAACGAACACGCATGACAAATGAAGACGTGTAAGTTGAAAAGTTAACTACACGCATGTGCGCACGCAATGTTTTCATGTGTAAGTGCTTAGGCAATGAAGCGCACGCGGACAAGATGTATTGTGTGATATGCGAAGGAAGCCGAGACAAATCCCGGCACGCTCATGTGCATGTACCAGGAATCGCTCGTGTTCCGCAACCAAACGAAGCGAGGGAGCAGATTGCATTCGGGTCCGGACCATCTGCAGTGACCGCGCTCATGAGAGGCCTAGGCAGCACGCGAACCTTGCACACGTTCTTCTGTCCGTCTGTCATCCAACCAGATTCGGTCGAATCTGGCAGATTTGTTGCAGTTTTGCGGCGCTTGCAGGTACATGTTCTGCCGTTGTGGCCTGAGCTTAGAGTAGAGAAACTTCTTGAACGCATGCGGACGAGAATGACATGCAAGCCTTCTCGTGTGTGGGCGTCTTACCCAGGCAGAAATTACATATTCTCGTTCTTCGGCCTTGTCGATCTCGTGACTGTTGCACCGTTCTGGATACAGATTCTCTGCTGCATGTCGGACCGGCCGGTAGACTCCCCCGACTCAGCTGCGCAAAAATTTGTCGATCTACTCAGGACGGCGATGTGGCTGAGCGGGCTGCAGGCAATGGCTTTTGCGAAGCGGTGATGTGTCTTCGATGCTACCTGCCACCCTGCAGTTCAATGCTTTCATCTTCCGGATTGCACGGCTGCTTCGAATTCTTCAGCTCGAAGATTTCGTGGAGAGCTTCACGCTGCTGGATGATGCCTGGCGTGCTTGCAGAGAAACGATGGTTGCGACCGGGTCTGCCGCTGAAAGACTTGTGACGGGAATGGAAGTCAGATGAGTCAGGCATGAGAAGAAGTTCTTGTTTTAGAACCGAGGTTTATGGCCTTGCTCGTTTGGATATGTGGGGCGGTCCTTTTCTATGAATTTGAACAGGCACGCGCCCCAGGTGGGCGAGAATGCACGCAGATGCACGCAGAACACCTCGCCTTACGTCATACAGCCGCAGTATGGCTGCTCTAGATCAGATATTTGCGATGCAATCTTTATGCCTCCAGCTTGAAGTTTGCCGCCGGCAAGCACAAACGGACACAGCTTTGTCGAAGAGTGAACTTAAACGTTCTAGAGCACTCAACGCAAACCCTCCAAAGCAGGCTTTGCTTGTGATTCTCTGCATCATCGAAGGTAGCTGCTCTTGCTGATTCTGTCTGGGCATTGACTTGGCATCCTCATCAAGTTGCCTGCCTGAGGATAATCCAGCCATGGATGGCGCTTTCAAGGACACGTTCGAAGCGCACTCTGCACTCTGCAGTGGCTTGTGTGGCAGCTTGTGAAGGATCTGCCCTCCAGCATGTGCGAACCCTGGCGTCTTGCTTCGTGCGGGCATTTGTTGCCGGGAAGGTTGAGCAGTGTTGCCAGCGTCGGAGGTATTTCACGATCATCTTCCTGGGCGGCGAATGGGCAATGATTGATTTTACGACAGGCGCACAACTCTAATGATGAGAAGCGAGGCTCACATTCAAGTTGGAACTTGCTCAGGTGGAAAAGTCGTCTGTGTGGTGTACTGCGCACCTTGGCATTGATTACGACAAAATTGCCCACGAGTCCAACAAACTGTAGCTGTTTTGCTAGCATTTTGCTCCGCAGCGTTGCTACGCGTGTTCCTATGAACAGCGCGATCTCACACAGAATAATGAGCGAAGTTCGTGTTTGTGTTTACTTCGCGCATCCCTGCCCTCAAACAAAAACCAATTTGTCCAGCCATGAGTCATGAATAGTTGACCTACGCCGGACTGCGCTGTCGCTCTCAGTCGGAGATTTCAAGCCTCCACACTTAAAGGTGATTGTAGGGTTCTCTTAATTTTAACGCTACGCGACCCGCCTCGGCCCGGCCCAGCGCATCCGCGTGAGCATGGTGATTCCGCAGCGCCCAAGTCGCTGGACCCCAAGCAATAAGGGCTGGGTTGAGGGTTGAGGGTTGAGGGTTCCGGGTTTATGGTTTATGGTTTATGGTTTGGGGTTTGGGGTTGAGGGTTAGTTTAGGGCTCAAGGTTCACGCTTTGGGGTTGAGGGTTTTTTTGGGTTTAGGGTTCGGCTTGGAGTGATCGTAGGGTTGAAGGCGACTCTTTGGCAGGGTGGGCGGGAGGGGGGAGGTGGGGTGGGGGGTGGGGTGGAGGGGGAGGGGGGGGGGGGTGTGGGGGGGGGGTAGGGGGGGGGGGGGGGGGGGGGGGGGGGGGGGGGGGGGGGGGGGGGGGGGTCGTTGCGAATTCCGGTTTAGGGGAGGATTTGGAGGGGTGCCTGTTCTGACAACCTTTACACCTCCGTCCCCAAGACCTTGGGCAGATTTGTGGCCGTGCTCACACCAGGGGGTACAGGGGGGGCTAGAGGGGGGGGCTAGGGGGGGGGGGTAGGGGGGGGGTGGGGGGGGGGGGTGGGGGGGGGGTAGGGGGGGGGGGTAGGGGAGGGGGGTAGGGGGGGGTGGGGGGGGGGGGTTAGGGGGTGGGGCGGGAAAACGGGGGGCGCCCTGCTGGGATGGGCTGCAACTGCCTCTGGTCCTGGCGAGACATCCGCTTGCGGACCCTCCTCTCCTAGGGGGGGTACCCATTTGAAGCAAAAAAAGGGGGCCGAAAAGTGGTTTTGGGCTTGGGGGGAGGATTTGGAGGGGGGTGCCTGTTCTGACAACCTATACACCTTCGGCCCGAGGCCTCGGCGGATATGGTCGCAGAGCGTTTGTGCGAGCAAACGGCCCTCCACGAAACTTGTTCAAGATAGTGCAGGGAAGTGAGCAGTTGGTCCTCAATCCACTGTTCACCTCTTCCTGGCCCTAGCCGGTACTTGTTTGGGCTGGTCCTTTGGCCAACAGATGTGGGACTTGCCTGAAGCTGACCCTGGTGTGTTCGGCACATTTTGCATGTTAGCTTCGCAGAGGGTGTTGAGACCAGTGGAGTTGCTTGCAGAGTGGCAGATTCAGTTCGTCAGCAGGTGGAGCTCCAAGCGTTTTCTTCCAATCGTTAGCCACATGCGCGAACGAATTTTCCAGTTTTTTGCTCGCCGTGTGCAAGAGTGGGAGTCCAAAATCCCAAAAAAAAAAGGCTCATAAGTCCGGTTGGGTGCTGGGAGACCACCCCGAAAGTGGAAGTGGTACACCCTCGATCGGCTGGTGATAGGTGTATTCCGTTGCGGAAAAGTCTGGTTACAGTAGCCTCTTTGAGCCAGGGAGCGATGCCCTCAAGAAGTTGGACCGATGCGTCCCATCGTTATGCCATATGATGGCTTCTGATGACTTGGCGCACGGTTCATGACATGGCAGTCCACTTGTCACAAAGACTGGAACCTAGAGCCTCGCCTGTCTACGCTAGTTGTGAGAGTCGAACAGCCTTACAAACCGCAGATTCCGGAGTAGGACAAACAAAAGCCGAAGGGCGAAAAATGCTCAGCGTGGCGATGCAAGACGGCTTTTTCTCGTCTTTGCCAAGGGGGCTTGTGTGCATTGTACGCATGCTTTCTGTGACCATCTCTTGTGGCATGACGCTATTGGCCATGAGGCCTTCTTGCATGAGCGTGCAAGAGTGCAGAATCTGAGGTTGTCGGCATTGGGCTGCTTGGCACGTCTCGTCTGGGTCATGTGGGATGTATACAGTACGAATGCGCTGGGTTCCGTGCCACAGGCTTTATGGCATACCGATCGGTGCCGTTTTCGAAGCGTTCAGCGACGTCCTCGCAGCTTTGCGCTCAATGCCACGAGGCAAATGCAGTCAGTGCTAAGCCATCACTCTTGCACTGGGACGAAGGATCAGCAGGAGCAGCGGGAAGAAGAAGACGAAGAAAGTCGAGAAAGCTCGGCGGTCGCGTGAGTCGTGGAAGCGAGAAGTTTCCATGCATTGGCCAAAGGGCCGGGAGTTCAAAGATAGCTCTTTGTTACAAATTGATTTTCAACCTCCTCACCTCAAACGACGCTGGGGACGGTCTGGCCACTATCTCAACCACGTGACGAGTTCTAGGGTTAGGACACATTCTGCTTGCCACACTTCCCTGCCTCAGCTAGGAGCCATCAGTTTGTAAGCCAGAGATTGATTTAGTTTTCACCGCCAAGCACCAATAAAAGGCAGCAACCACTTTGAGTTCTCGTACGTTCGTGCGCTGCTGCTTGGAGCGAGCCCGCTTTCTTGCAGGAACCAGCTTGCCAAGATCTGCGTCTTCGATTGCAGAAAGCTGATCAGGAGGCAGGCCGCTGCAAAGCCCGAACGTATGGAACTGGAAGGAAAGATGCGAGATTGACGAAGCTGACAGAACATCTTAGCTCAGGCTCGGCTGGCCAGAGAGCGGGAGCTGCATCCTTAGTCAGCTCACATTGTTCAGCCTGAACACTGACCCAGTGGCTTCCCAATCGATGTGTCCCAAGTCCAGGAAAAGACCTAAACAGCATTGATTCGAGAGCCGGCGCAAGATGCATCAGGGCTGGAATGTTGTGGTGGAATCAAGCTTGGGGAAACGCCGTTAACCATGTCACTTCGGCCGAGAAGCGAGGGCCAGGTATTGCAATCGCTCTGTCGTGCCCCGTCCCCGAAAGTATACTTCTAGCAACCAAGGCTGCGTAACATTGACCAGATCACTCGCTGGGACTCGTCCAAGCTGGTGTCACTTCATTTTCAGTTTGGATTCGGCTTGGCTGCATTCCGCCATGTAACGCTCGCGCTGCGTGGAGGACAGCAAACGCCTCCACTGCGAGGAGGCACTGGCTTGTGCACCACGGCGCCCGAAGTCCCACGCAGCTTGCAGCTGGTGTAGCCCGTCTCTTGAAAAGAGGCCAGTGAAGGGGCAGCGAGCTTGGCAGAGAATGGCGGAGAATGTTGGCTGGGTGGAGCTGATACGGGAAAGCCAGTGGAAAGCCTGATTCAAGACTCGTGGAAATCCGAGGTGGAGCTGTTGCGCTTGTCCATGGACAACCTGCAGGCACAGTGGCATCCAGCCTTTCCTGGTGCTCAAACGCTCGCATGCGTTGTGAAGGCCGAGTTGAAGCGGCTGGAACATGAAGCCCGGGTCTGTCGTTGATTCTTGTGAGCCTGCAAAAACCTACTAGCATCAAAGAATCTTGGGGATTCTCTGTGAATCGACCCGGCCTCGGTCACTTTCTGAGGCTCAGCCAGGGCGCTCCTGGCTTTGTAGTCTTCGTGAGAGGCAGACGGCCAGTCAGGACCAGTACAACTTGCACCTGAAGGGGGTTTGGATCTAGGCAGTGTCAACATCTTAGGGCTCTGTCTTGATATACCCTGAATTGGATCTACAAGGAGTTAAGGACCCCCCCCCCCCCCAACAGGAGCCATAGCTCAGGCTCAGATCCTCCCTCCCTCCCCTGACGCCTTCTGAAACTCTGAGCACGATCAGGAGAATGCAAGACTCAGTGCATCTCGCCTGACGGCGTTGAAGGCCCCTGCTGCGGTTGGGGTTTCGTTTTTTCAACATACATAAATTTTCGTCCCAGTCCCTGTCCCTGTCTCCGTCTCGGTCTCTGTCTCTGTCTCTCTCTCTCTCTCTCTCTTCCGCTCTTCTCCCCCTCGCTAATCGCAATCTGGCGCACGCATCGCACAAGGCTCAGTATCCGCAGCGAGCCCGTGCCTTGATGGACTCAGCCAGTTTTCCCCCTATGTGCTTGCACTGGCCACCAAGATCGCGGAGCTGAAAGCATCGCAGGCCCTGTGCTCTCCAGTTTGAGGGTTGCTGCACTAGAGAAGCAGCTTCATGCGCTCCATCATTGGATTCAGAATGCACGCCTGCTTTCAAACTCGGAGAGCGACGGAGGTCGTCATGCTAGCCCTGCTATATCATGTTCACCCAACGTCGCAGCATTGCACACACACACACACACACCCGATGCACTTTTCCCGGCACAAGGTAGACCTTGCAACTGCAGTAGGTGAGTCAGCTGCGTGTCAAGTTGGCTAATGCGATCGCACTCTCTGGAAGATCGCAGAAACTCCATGCATTGCAAACCCTGAAGATCTGTGCACATGGCCTCGTACCGACGCAGCATGGCCAGGTGCAGGAAATGACTGACCTGCGGAGTTCGCAGGCGGAGGCAAAATTGCAGTGAAGCCTTTGAAGCGACATACATCTTCAGTGCGTTGTCCTGATGTGCCGTCAGGAGCTCTTGAAGCTGGAAATGGACTGGACAACGCAGGCGGCGCAGAGTACTAGCTGTAGCTGTCGCTAGCTATCGGACGATCCGCAGGGACGACTTACAAGCTTTGAAGACAAATGGACGACGACTATGGTCATCACTTGTCGCCGGCCCAAAACAAGACGTTTGCAAGCAAGCGCTTTGCCACAAAATGTCAACTGACACCTAGAGCCTTCGAGTCGAAGCTTTGTGGAACTGCAAAATGTAGGTATTGCAAACGTCTCCACTTCATCCGCATCTAAGAATGCACAGTTTTGGCTTGTTCTGTATGCAGCAACATGGTCCCGATGCCCGTTTGGCCGTGGCAATTCTGATCTCGGTGATGCACCTCGGTGACATGCGTGTAGGGCTTCATTGTGGAGAAGATGACCATAATCGCAGCGGTGCTTTGCATTGGGGCCAGACTCTGCTATGGAGCTAAGCTTCTTGTCTGCATGCATTCGCTTCAGCCGGTCTGCGTGGGTACATATGCTTAGTCAAGGCGTTGGGAAGTGGTGTGTCCCAGAGGAGACTTCACATCTTCTAGCGCCACATCGGAAAACTCTCGTTGGGGGTTTAAGGCTGGGGCCTGGCAATTCGGTCGGTTCAGGGGTCTGAAAGGCCGCTGCCGGCGGCACAAGACGACTTCTTCGACTTGCTTCCGATCGAGTACCCATTCCCTGCACCGGAGGTTGATGTTGACCCAGTGGCAGGACGCCTTCTGGCAGCATGCCGAAGTGTCCAGGATCTCGCGTTGCTGGCAATAGCCGCATCCCAGCTGCACAGTTTCAACGTAAGGCCAGACGGTTCTTATGATCTGACAGTGCCACAGTTCGACATGGACCTACAAGATGAAGAAGTGTCCGCACTGCTGGGCACTTGTCTGCACCTCTTCGAGCGCTACGCCTGGCTGGCTGCAGTAAACCTCGAGGCGAAGCTTTGGTGTGTAGGAATATGCCCAGCCCTCCCACAAGCAGTTCTTAGAAGATCCGATGCCTTCTGCCACGCTGAAGCTTTGTGTGATGATCACGACGACAAAGATCGTCTCGAGATTGCTGAGGTTGCTGCCCGGTCATCTGCGCGTATGTGTCACGTTGTGACTGGGTTCTGCAAGTCTTTGAAAGAGCCTGCAGCTGGAGTAGCCAGTCTGTCCAGCTCCGTCAAAAGAGCCGCCGACGAAATCCACATATTTCTTGATCATGCTTTTCACAGTCTTTCGTTCTTGCCAAGGGGGCTGCTTGCCGTGCAGCCCTTCGGGCAGATACTGGAGCACAGCTCCCAAACATTTCTGCACGTTCCAGTAGCGGGCTTGCGCTGGAACGTGCTTCTGCACCTTCTGTCAAGTTTCAGCACCGAAGATCGTTCCCGAGGACTTCGTGTAGCTGAAATCGGTGTTGAGAAAGGGATGACCGCAACCTTTCTTCTGAAGCACGATCAAGCGATCACGGACTATTATGCGGTGGACCCCTGGCATGTCCCAGGCAAGTCCCAAGAAAGCAACGACGTACTGCAGTCCTACTATGACAATCTCGAGGCCTGGTCTGCGGCTGAGCCATCTTTCCAGCGCAACGGCCGCAGGGCCGTCCACATCTTGCGACACGGCTCGGAGGAAGCAGCTGGCCAACTTGGCGTTGACTACTTTGATATGGTCTTTATTGATGCGGAGCATACCTTTGAAGCTGTTCGCAGAGATATTCAGGTATGGAAGCGTCGCGTGAGACCAGGAGGTATCTTAGCTGGGCACGACTTCTCCCTCTTCCACCCTGGGGTCTCCTTGGCTGTTCTTGTTGAGTGCGGAGCGATGAGCGATGACACTGGTCGCTTCCCGCTGCAGTCGGAGCAGGGCAAACCCATCATCCATCTTTCTGCAGACTCTGTCTGGTGGGTCCGGCGGATGTAGGAGTCTCTCAGATCAGTGTCGCTCTGCAAGCTTCGTGGGGTCCAGCCAGAAGTCGACGACACCCGCTCCGCGCAGCATGCCGCAATCTCTCTCGACCACGGCGAGCGACCATTCGGCCTGCACCAGGGCACCGACCACTTGCAGAAATGGTTCATCGCGCCAAAGAAGCCGGCATGAGCATGCCGCAAAAACGTTTAAGTATAAGCCATTCTGCAAGCTGAAAAAACCAAAATTGTTCAGGGCGTTCAAGGGCAGACCTTGCCAGAGGAGCACCTCTTTTTTGGGGGGCGTTTTGCAGGTGTCAGACATGAAGTCGCTCCACTCTGAGGATGTCCGCAGCAGGGCACCTACTCGGACCTGCTGTCTATTCAGGGGCGAGCGTTCTTTATTGTTCTTCATTCCTTTGTAAAAGGGGCAGCATGGCCTTGACTGTGCCACAGGCTTCAAGCAGAGCTTGGAGGAGACGACGCGGCGTTCCCAGAGGCTTCGGATGAACATGGTTTTTATGTTTTTATGTCATGTTTGCCGAGGAGTAGCCAGTATCAGCTGCCAAGTCGGTACGTCTGTAAGATCTGTCACAGGATGAGCCGCGAACGGGATGATGCTCGTGAGCAAGCTCTGACAAGACAGCGGGAGGTCCGGAGTAGAACGCCCCACAGGACTGATGTCTTGGCATTGAAGTGTTCTTGGTTGCAGGGATCACGCCTTCAGCAGCAATGCGCGTGACTTTACTGGCGGCGTCGTGTGCGGGATACTGCGATGCGCTAGAACATGGAAAGCACCAAGGTGCAGATGCTCGACACGAGGCTCGGTCCCCGGCAGGTGAAGAAATGACTTGCAACTTCTCATTAAGTACCGCTCTTCTCTGGGTGCTTCCCCGCAGCATCCCATTTCTCAGCCCTTGAAGATACACGCAAAACAGGTGTTTGTTGTATGTATCTATGTATGTATGTATCTATCTATCTATCTATGTATATATAGATATAGATATAGATATTATAGATATAGATATAGCTAATAGATATAGATATAGAAACTCATACTTTTTCAATTCAATACTGGTGTTGTATGTGTGTGTGTGTGTGTGTGTGCAAGCTCAAAGCCCCATTACACCAAACATCGGAGCAAGCCGCATGAAAGGCTTTTGAAGTCAAGCTAGGTGCAGGGGGTCCCCTCCAGTCACTGTTGGGGGGGGGGGGGGTTTTCACAAAGAGCCTAACAGTGTGGTGCTGAAAACGTACCTGCAAATTCGAGCGTGCCTGGGCTTGGCACGGCAGCTGGCAAACGGGCGTGTGCTTTGGCTCCGTGCGTCACGATGGCTCTGCCTTCCCCCTACATTGTTACATGTGTAGGGAGATGCCGACGTGTATGTGTGTGTGTGTGTGTGTGTGTGTGTTTTGCGGGCGTTTTTTTCTTTTCATGCGTGTCTGCTTTCAAAGTCGATGCCTCCAAGACTAACCTTTGACTTCGGTGTGAGCTCACGACCACCCGCTTCCGAAGAGGTCCGGAAGTTTCTGGGTTATTGGCCAGAAGACCTCTCGTATTGAGGAAGATAGAAATTTAAGCCCAGCCCCATCGTGCTTTGCAAGAGCTGCGTGCTACCGAGGTGCTGGAGCTCTCGGCCCAGATTCGCCTCATGCACCCTGTGAGACCCCGAGATGGTGTCCGCCCGCATCTGCGCAGTTCAGTGGCATCAAACATCGAAAGTTGGATCAAAAAGAGCTGCTGAGGCTGCCATACAGGGGCAAGGCATGAGTAGGTCCCTGTCAGTCTGCCACCCAGGATTGAGTTGCTGATGGAACTTCAACATGTGAATGAAGCACAGGGAAAGCATGCACACCCGGTTCTGATCAGGCATCTTTTCTGGACTCTCCAATCCTGTCCATCAAGGCCCTCCGGATCATAGAAGAGAAGGGGGTTCCTCAATCTGCATCGTGGCGAGGACGCCCAATGTACGGATGCGGAGATGCTCGACCTGAGGCATTCTCAGGGGTGTGCATGAACCTTTTGACATGAGAAGTGTGGTCGTTACAAAGCGCTCTCAGTGGAGCCTGGTGCTAGAGCTATGAGCCTAAATTTGAGCTGTAGACGCGCGATCAGATCATGCATGGCAATACATGTGTCTCCATCACTGCCGATGCGTGCCGCAACAAGCGATGTTGGATTTGGCCAGCATCCTGAGCTACGCAGGCAAAGATGCAAAGAACTGGAGCGACAGTGTACCAGGCGGTGCCTTCGAAAGATGCCGCAGCTGCTTGACCGCTGAGTTTTGCAGGATGCATAGCCTGCTGGAGAGAGGACAAGAGGTTCAACACTTCATCACATTCACTGGTTGTCTGTGCCCCCGGTTTCTGCACGACTGCTTCGGGACGTGGTGCTATGACAGGCTTGCGAAAGGTGGCGGCGCCAAGGGATCAGTCAGGATCTCAGATTGCTTGCTCGGACAGCTTGCAGGAGAAATCCAGGTCAGCACTTGCAAGGTCGGTTTGCCCACCTGAGTCATAGAAATGCTAGCCTTTTCGTTGCGACCGAGTTCTAAGCTTGAAGTGGCCAAACACCGAATTAATTGAGTCTTCTCCAGCATTTTCTTCTTCTCTCTTAGGGTGCAGGGGGTGTTGTCTGGCGAGAAACAAAGGGCGCCTCTTACCGTTGCGGTCACCGTCCCTACTCAAGGTGCAGCTTCTGTCGGAGACAGTGCCGATGACGGTGGGCGACTGGAGCCCTTTGCGCCGGAGCCTTGCAGCCGACGTTGATATCATTGTTCATGTGGAAGTGCGCTGCGCGCGGAGCTCTAGTTAGACTCTAGCGGGCCAAGGCTTGGACCACAGGAACTTGGACGAATACCAGCCAGGACGTGGGGCACTGCACCTCGACAGCGTTGCGTTGCAGAGATTCGGCTGTCGTGCGCTGTCGGCCAGGACTGAAGGTCCGGCCGCGCTGGTGTGGGCCCAGAAAATCTCAAAGAACTGCTTCCGTGATGCGGCACATTTCTGTGATCACATGGTCATTCAATTCCGACGGCAGCATTTCAGATGCTCAGAAGCGGCATCTGAGCACATCCGGTGCAGTGTTGACATGCTGCGCTTGCACCCAAGAGTTGGTGACATTCCAGAGACACTAGCCAGAGTCAAAAAAAGGTTGTCATGGGCACATAGCAGCACACGCCGTTTCTGCGATTTGACCACACACGGGGTTTTCCGGCTGCCATGCCAACCGCAGAGACTCGCTCTCTTTGGCCAGCTGGAGCCCCGCGCTTAGTGCCCCTCCTTGAAGAACACTCCCTGTGCCTGAGCCAAGTGATGTGACTGAGGTGGTGCCGCTAGTTGGTGCATCATCCTCAGCAGTACAGCTTTTGCGTCATCAAAGGCTTGACTTTCTAAATGGTGCCCTGCGGGACAAGCCAGCCGCGTCCATTCCCAAAAGACATTCAGCCAAAGGCCGCACAGTTCGTGTATTGCTCTGCTGGAGAGTTTTGAGAAGTTTGAGATACCTGGAAACTCCTGAGCATCAGTAGGCCACGTTACGTGGAATCAGCCCAGCCTCAACCATCCTCAACCTCTGGACTGTTGATTTGTGCTTGCTCCTGTTCAGAAACCCATGCTGAGGGTGGGCGAAGGTAGATAATGATATATATATATATGTTTTTTGTTTTATGTATATATATATATATATATGTATATTTTATATGTATTGATAAAAGCGCGCGGGATTGTGGCTGCGGGGCTCGGACGGACAATGTGGGCGGACAACTATTTGACAATCAGGCCGACGCGGAAGAGGACCGAATCGAGTTGGAGGCTGTTGACAATTGCGGTGCTTCGCATCATATTCCAGGACTTCACAACTCAAAACATTGTCTTACGCGCATCTCCCGGTGAGGCATGGTGCCGACGGTTTTTCGAAGAGCGACAAACCCAGCCATTGGGGATGCCATGCTTCGGGTCTTATAGCTTTCAATGCCGAGTTCACATTGAGAGTGGGAAGGTGTGAAGCCAGCGCAGCCGGATCTGAATACGGAGCGCCACAAGCTCAACAGCTCAACAGCTTCCACTGTTTGCACACGCAGTATACATCAGAGTAGTCCCATCCTGTGGGATAGTCTGCTCCTGTGTTAGTTTAGTGGCTTGTACCAGTCCTGTTCTGCTTGTCATTCTCTCATCGCTGAATTAGGTCAGACGCCGAGTCGCTGTTGGCGACCTCGCCGGAATCCAGAGCACACAGCTGTATAATGCTGTATACATTATGATACATTGTTATCATATGCTGACGAGGCCGTCAGCGACAAAAGTCGAGCACAATGGCGGCTGCCGTGCTTGCCCAAGTCATGGAGCACAGCCAACTGCCAGAGTTGATTCCACACCAGATGTTGCAAGGCCCGTGGAAGAGATGGAAATCAGCAGCTGTTGCAGCAACGCTACTCATGGTCGTTTGCCAAGGGCGGCTGCGAAGTTCGAACATGCGCATCATCTTCAGGGCTCAGGGGGTGTTGAGGATTTTGCGGAGATTAGGTCGCCCTGCTGGTGGCCTGGATGGTATGGAGACAAGGAGGTGGGGCACCAGTTCTCATGTGCGCTTGACTTCACTGACAGTGAACATCGGTGTCGAAGGCTCATCGAAGCAGCTTGCTGAGGCAGGGCTTGATCGTGGGAGGGCTTTTTGGCTCCCCTCTAGGTCTGAAGTTCTGCCGTGATGTGAGGCAAGTGGGCAAAGCCATGCAAACTTGCACTTGACGGACTTCTTCGATGCCCGTTGGCCTGGTGCTGAGATGCATGCATCAAAACTTCAACAACTCACCAGCCAATAAGGTTCTTGCCAAAGTGGCAAGATGACCCAGATGAAACGACGACACCGGAAGAGATGGCAACCGCTCCAAGAACAAGAGCTGACACCATGGCATCAGCGGCGGCGCTTCCTGAGCTCCGGCCTAGTGCCAGCGAAATACGCACGAAGAGGCCGAGAACTGCCGCTGCAACCACAACGACCACAACGACCACAACGACCACGACTTCTTTCAACCCGTGCTACCAGCCGTATGGTGGCCGGCTTCTTGGGAATGCCATGGGGTGTAGTTACATGCGTAGTTGCTAGGGTTTTTTTCGATTTCATTTGAGCGTCAAGGCGATTTTCCAGCGGTGCCACCGGCTGATGAGTACGCGACAGCCTTAGAGCTTGAGAGCTTGACAAGGGATCCTTTGCCACCCCGTCGTCCCAAACCAATTCCTGTTGGGAAGGTCAACCACTATGACCCACACAATCCTTTGAGGAAACTGCTGCGGGGGTACCGGGAGTTGGCTGCTAGCCTTCCATGGCACTTAGAGTGGAGTTGGTGGAAGTTGTTCATCTCTGGAAGGATCGCCGCGGATTCCCTCAGAAGCAACAACTACTTCATAGTCATCGGTGATTGGGGCAAGGCCTTGGACGCTGGTGGGCCAAGTGCTCAGAGGATGCCCCAACGCGAAGGGTTTCTCTCGACCTCACATTACTCACGGACGTGAAGAAGTGTGTGTGTGTGTGTGTGTCTTTTGGCCACGATTAGGCCTGGCAGTTGCCAGCTGAAAGTTGCAGACCTCCTGAAGCGCCTGATCCTTGGGGGATCCACAAACTATGCCTACTAAGTAGCAAGGATCTCCGAAGCAGTTTTGTGAGCCGGGTGAGAGAGTGTGGGAGCAGAGGCTATGTCTCTGCACAACGACAGGCCGGTCGTAGCTCATTGCAGTAAGCCATGTCTCCTTATTCCTCAGTGTGCAGTGTGTGCAACCCGCAGGCCGGAAAAACGCTGCTGTTCATTGCGTCAGCAGCAGACTTAGCAAGGGTGAGCTCATCCGAGCTGAAACTTTAGATGCATAGCTCTGGCTGACTCTTGCTGTTCGTTTCGAATTTTGAAGCTTGCATTGTCTCCGCACTCCTTAAGTCAGCGTGGACAGCGGCTGTAGTTTTGATATGGTTTGACTGCATAAGGTGGGCGACAATTTCTACTGGACTGGTGTCATGCCGGAGGCATTCTGTGGCACATCCCGGCACATCGTGGGCCGGGAGAAATGGGGGTTTACGAAACTAAGGGAGAGAGAGAAACCTCAAATAGCAGGATTCTCCCAAAATAAGGGCCCCAATAAGGAACCCCCCTCATTTCGGACGCCCCCAAAACCTGAATTCTCCAGGCATGGAGAATTTCGTGGGACGAGCCGAGAGCTGAGAGAAGCCGAAGGGCGAGGTTGCCGACCTCGGGCGCCGAAAGAGCCTAGCCTACCCAGAGACTCCAATACTCCTTAATTAAGGAAGATTCCTTAACCCATACAAGGCACCCTTTTATATTAATTTTAACGCTACGCGACCCGCCTCGGCCCGGCCCAGCGCATCCGCGTGAGCATGGTGATTCCGCAGCGCCCAAGTCGCTGGACCCCAAGCAATAAGGGTTGGGTTGAGGGTTGAGGGTTGAGGGTTCCGGGTTTATGGTTTATGGTTTGGGGTTTGGGGTTGAGGGTTAGTTTAGGGCTCAAGGTTCACGCTTTGGGGTTGAGGGTTTTTTTGGGTTCGGGTTCGGCTTGGAGTGATCGTAGGGTTGAGCCAGGCCCCTTAAGGTTTAAGGCGACTCTTCGGCAGGGTGGGGTGGGGGGGGAGGGGGGGGGGTAAGGGGGGGGGGGGAAGAGGGCGGGCGGGGTGAACAACGGCGGGGGGCCCTGCTGGGAGGGGCTTCAACTGCCTCTGGTCCTGGCGAACCGTCCGCTTGCGGACCCCGGTTTCCCAGGGGGGGTTCCCATTTGAGGCCAAAAAAATCCGAAAAAGGGCTTTCGGTGTGGGGGGAGGATTTGGAGGGGGGTGCCTGTTCTGACAACCTATACACCTCCGGCCCGAGGCCTCGGCGGATTAAGGGGGTGTTGGAGTCCCTGCCAAGGCCCTATGGCGTCAATGATGCGTCCTCGCCGCTGTTTCAGGTGCCCGCCCTCGCAAAAGTGTTCTAAAACTCATCGGACGGCACCACGTTAATCCTGCAGCATGCGGTCGTAAGTAGAGCAATCCGCACCATTCTCAGGATGAGCATGTGTACGCCGTAAACGTACGATTTTTGCAAGGCGCTCCCTTCTAAGTAGTGCGGTGCATAGCACACTGTAGCGAGGGGAGGCCATTGCAACAGCAGGTGGGTTCGAGCTGTCTGGGAGTCAAGATCCTGCCCAATTCGTACGTCGCACATGAAGCTTAGACGCAGGGCTTCGTCATTCCCAGGCCCTTCACGTTGAGGGCCGAAGGTCCGTAGGATTCTGGGAAATGGGCGAAAGTAGCTTCTTAAGCCCGGCCAGGTTCCCTGGCTATCGGTCTATGGCAACCATGACTTCGGTAGTCATGATCCCTATGCATTTTGCCCGCATGCCTGGGCCTTAGACCTGCGCCAGACTCAATAGTCCTTCGTCCTACAGCGACTGCGCTGAGGTGCAGCCGAACCATATTCTGGGATTTCAGGCAGTTGTGACTGCAATATTCAATAGTAGGACCAACAGCGCAC